GTACGCCGTTGCTTGTAAGAATCAGAAGCATAAAGAAAGAAAATTGAAGGGTTTATTTATCAGTAGTCTAATACAGAAAGATTCGTTATGTATCACAAAATAAGGCGAACAGTCAAAGGAACGAATACAAAACATCAATCAAAGAAAGAACCATAACAACAACAAATTAAAAACTGACCCCCCCCCCAAAAAAAAAAAAAAAAAAAAAATGTTTCCTTTAAATTAGGGGCAGAAAAAAAATAATATGACTTTTGTTATACAAATAACCAGATATGATAGTATATAAATAATAGAATCATCGGGCCGATGAAGATTTAAAAGATTTATTTTATCATACCTTCAGGTATAGTCAATGATTTCATTTTTTAAAAAAATCAGGTTGCGCTGAGAGACAGTCAGGATCTACATCTTATCTCTGGGCCGTCATCAACAACATCTGCTTAAGCGTCTCTCTGTTCATCTACGACACCTTGAAGGAGGGGAAAGAGAAGGGAGAGGAGGTGGAAGAAGAGGAGGAGTTGGAAGAAGAGGAGGAAGAGGAGGAGGTGGAAGAAGAGGAGGAAGAGGAGGAGAAGGAAGAGGAGGAGAAAGAGGAGGAGGAGGAGGAAGAGGAGGAGGAGGACGAGGAGGAGGAAGAGGAAGAGGAGGAAGAGGAGGAGGAGAGGGAAAAGGAGGAGAGGAGGAGGAGGAAGGGGAGGAGGAGGAAGAGGAAGAAGAGGAGGAGGAGGAGAGGAAGGGGAGGAAGAGGAGGAGGAGGAAGAGGAAGAAGAGGAGGAAGAGGAAGAGGGGGAAGAGGAGGAAGAGGCGGAAGAGGCGGAAGAGGAGGAGGAAGAAGAGGAAGAGGAGGAAGAGGAAGAGGAAGAGGAGGAAGAGGAAGAGGACGAGGAGGAGGAAAAGGAGGAGGAGGAGGAGGAGGAAAAGGAGGAGGAGGAGGAGGAAGAGGAGGAGGAGGAGGAGGAGAAGATGAGGAGGAGGAGGAGGAAGAAGAGGAGGAGAAGGAAGAGGAGGAGGAGGAGGAAGAAGAGGAGGAGGCGTATATATGGAAAAGACGGGCTTCGACGAGCATGGAGCAGCCACTGGGAAAACAGGGACGAGGAGGAATGAGATGGAGATACAACCACATCAAGAAGCTGTTTTGTTGCTCTGGTGAAAACAAAGATGCGGCAAAGATGTAAGCCAATCATCGGTGAGCATTACCCCCCCCCTCCCCCCCCCCCCCCCCCCCCCCGCCCCCGCCCCACTTTGATTGGTCATCATGATGGGTTTAAATCCTTTCAGATGTGAATAGTTAATAAAGTGGTTGGCAATATGGTTTAAGTTAAGAAATTCCATAGGCTAGTCTTTGCAGGTTGTTCTTTTCGTTGTCAACACATTATTGTTCTAAATATTCTATAATCATTCCAATAAAGAAATAAAATGAAATATAATCAAAATTGATCTCAATGATAAAGCTCTACATTATTAGGCTTATATAATAATTGTCAGCCTCACTGCTGCAGCAGTAATATGTGCATTGAGCACCGTCTTTGTAGCATGCCACACAGCTTAGAAGAACTACAAACATGATCACTGAAAACAAGTTCTAGTGAATTACCCTACTCTGCATTGTCATGTCATTTAAACAGCAGCATAAGCGAGCGGCCATCTTCACCAGCCGAGCCTCCTGCAAATCGGCTACATGACAGCAATGTGTAACATCCAAGCCTCGACAATAAGCATGAATAAACCTGGATGCATCTCAAGTTTATTCCTTGGTAATAAACGCGGTGATTGGGATCATAATGATGGTGGTTTGTTGCATCGGCGGAATCTAGGGGAGGAAACCGTTTCCGCCCTATTTTCATTGTGAGTATTTTCTAGCTCCTTCTATAAAAAGTCCTAAAATAATGCAAAACTTTGTTCGTCTTTGCTCTTTATAATGTGCATGTGACATTTTAACCTTCGTATATTCACTTGTTTTTCTTTCTCAATTGTTTTACCATTACAGGAAACTATTAAAGCAACATCAGCAACATAATGCATGTAGATCCAGCATAATCATCACTGCGTGCTTCTCAGCATCAATCTACCGTATTATCATGAGTACAGCCAACAGTTAGAATTGTGCCATTTTAGATTAAAAACAAAAATGGTTAAACACAGCTTTGGATAAAAGTGCAGTTGGCAAGAAAGTGCGGTTAACAGAAAACCCGCAAACATGGTCGAAGATAACAGAACGTGTCCCATGAACATGATGAGAGCCATCTTTCATTTCAGCCTCTCACGCAGGAGTTGATGGAGTCAGTCTTCTTATCAGCGGTCCGCCCAAATGTATACTGGCATGGTTTTAAATATGAAGCCTAAACTAGGGATGACATCAGACATACCTTGTCTGTACGTCTAACATTTTACTCAGAAAGATAAACAATAAGGAAACAAATCGCGAAGGAAACGAAGCCGAAGTGATGGAGAAGATGCAAGGACCCTAGCTAACTTGCATCTCAAGTTTATTCCTGGTAATAAACGCGGTGATTGGGATCATAATGATGGTGGTCTGTTGCATTGGCAGAGTCGAGTTGAGGAAACCCTATTTTCATAGTGAGTATTTTCTAGCTCTTTCCTTAAAAAGTCCGAGAATAATGTGAGCTAATCTTTAACGACGAACCTATTTCTATACCCTTGATAATATACCTGTTACATTTTAACCTTCTTATTATGATCATAAATGAGATAAAACGATTTAACTATGTGTATGTCATGTACAGTTAGTAATCACTTGTTCTTCTTTCTCAATTTGTTTACCATTGCAGGAAACTAAAGCAACATCAGCAACATAATGCATGTAGATCGAGAATAAATAATTATCGCTTGCTTCTCATCAAAAACCTGACAGGATGACTGATCTGTCAAGCCCAAAGGATGCATAAGTCAACTGGCTTACCCAGCTTCAAGAAATAGCTTGATATATAATACTACTACCTCATACGAAAGAAGAAGATGCATATGGGTGCATATGAGTACAACCAACGATTAGAATTGTGCCATGATAGATTTAACAAAAAATGGTTTAGCACAGCTTTTGATAGTTTAATGCAGTTGGCAAGAAAGTGCGGTTAACAGAAAACCGGCAAAAATGGTCGAAGAACAAATTGTGTCCCATGAACATGAAAGTTGAGAGCCGTCTTTCATTTCAGCCTCTCACGGAGGAGTTGATGGAGTCTTCTTATCAGCGGTTCCCCCCAAACTATTCTGGCATGGTTTAACAAAGCCTAAACTAGAGATGACATCAGACAAACCTCGTCTGTATGACATTTATCTCAGAAACATATATATTGAGTAATCAAATCGAGAAGGAAACGAAGCCAAAGTGATGGAGAAGAAACTTGCAACAAAATCAAAGAGTTTTCCCAACTTCTTGACAAAATCAGCTAATCTTTCATCATGACATGCAAAGACCCTATAGCTTGAAATTTGCAGATAGTGTCAAGCGACAGAAATAAAGCACAAGGCAACCTGCAGAGTACTAATATAACGTACGAATGGCCCAAACAAGACTTCCTTCTTCTACCTACTTAGTGGCCACATCGTGAAATATGTCTAAGATATCCGTTACCAGGGAGTCACAATCTCAGAGGACTTGAAATGGGAGAAACACGGTTGCAAACACCACTCAAAAGGCAAACTGGGTCCTATCCCTCCTTCGCAGAAACCTCCGCTTCTTTCCTGCAGACATTAAGCGAACAGCCTACACTGCACTTGTAAGATCTCTCCTTGAATATGGGGCTACATCCTGTGATCCATATCTGCAGAAGGACATCAACAGACCTGAAAACGTCCAAAGACGAGCAGTTCGCTTCATCACAGGAAATTATGTGACCAGAGATGAGGGCATCGTACACATCCAGATCCAGATATAGAAACTGTTGGTCACGTCTCATGGAAGAAAGATTTCCCTTTTGAATATAACAAACAAAACAAAGATTTGAATGACTTACAGTGCAAACAGCTTGTTAACAATAATTATAATGAACCAAAACTGTTATGTATGAGATTGAGCCAATGAACGACATGACCGAAGCCGTACCGATAATTTCAAAGAATAGTCAGAAAATATCAAAACCCTTGGAAAATTATTGTGATTATCAACTTAACACAAAAGCAATAAATTATGAAATACTTCAATACATTTATGTTCGATGTCGTTGTGTTTGTTTGTTGTCTATTTTTTTCTTTGACAATCAGTGCAGTTAAACGATTGACGAAAATTGTTATTGTAATAAGAAGTCAGTTATTTACGATTGAAGTTTATTTCTCAAAGTAGATAGATAGCTATATAGAATGATAAATAGATAGACAGAAAGATATCGATAGATGGATAATATAGCTAAATAAACATGGTAGGAAGGGAGAGACATGAAATAGATAGAGAGAGGGAGAGAAAGAGTGAGAGATAGAGTGAGAGATAGAAAGAGAGAGAGAGGGAGAGAGAGAATGAGAGATGGATAGATAGAGAGCGGTGAGAGATAGAATGAGAGATAAAGAGAGAGAGAGAGAGAGAGAGAGAGAGAGAGAGAGGGGGGGGGGGGCCGGGGGTGGGGGGGGGGGGTACATAAGATTAGGATAATTACAATTATAATAACGCTAAGATGTTATGTCGGCAGTGCACACAACCCATAGCATAGAGATGCAGCTAAACAAAATAAAATATTTTGATCAGTAATATAGAGCCATTTACTCCTGTGGAATCTCGCTACGAATTCCCCCTTTGATGTACACGTGCCCATTTTTTTTTCTTTTTACGTTTTGGTTCATATTTCGAGGTGAATTAAAAACTAGTTCAATTGTTCCTATCTATCATATCATCAAATTGATGTTATATTTAATTTCAACTCTCTGGTTATTTTCAAGATTAAGCAAAATATTCAACCAACACATCAAACTAGAGATTTCTGTATAATTTGTAGATCTATTCTCTTTTTTTCTCGATGTGAGACATCTGCTGCCCTCTCGTGGCTAAGGATGATCAGCTGTTGAATTACCGTAAATTTTCTTGTTAATGATGGTTGGAATTACGAAATAATTAGTGAATTTGAGGACAATTGGTCATCATGAATCGAGCGGTCAGTGTTTCCAACATGGAGAAGCTCGCTAGGTCCTTTGAGGCCTTGAAAAATCACCAGCAGAGTTCGACATCGGCTGATGATACGAGCACCAAAGATGCGAAGTGAGTATCCATTTCACTCCCATTTCATCCAATGGGGATTTGTAGGGCAGCCACAGCTCACAGTGAAGCCTTGCACTGAATGAATATGAGTTAGATCTAATGTGTACCGGTATTGTGCGTTGAAGTAGGCGTGACCGTGTAGGCCTATGGTGTAACTTAAGTCTATCTTCAAGGACATCCCATAGAAACGTAAAATGTACAATGAACACATGTTTCCATGAGATGACCACAAACTTAGACTTTTTAGAGTTAGACTGATGATGATTTTGAGAAACTGGCTCAGGAGGCCTGGCCCTGGGCTGCAATGGGACTCTCTCCCAATCATGAGCAGTAGCCAGTAGATCATCTACTGTAGCCTGTAGGGCAGTAGGGGCGCAGGTCCGAGAATGAGGATCGTCTGCATAAACGAGGATATCCTCGTATACGCGAAAAGAATGCGGGTTTCGGGTTCCCACTTCGTGCGCTGGCGATGCAAAAAAAAAAGGATTCCGCGTAATAAAATACCCCCAGTTCACCCTCTACATTTATGGTTGTCCATCTTCCCGAGGATTTATCGCTCATAACGTGAAAGTCTCTCTGAGTCTGTACAACGTCAATGTAAAATGCATCAAGAAAGTCATTGCAGAATCAATTTTTCGCTTGCCAAAACGAGTATCGGAAATCTAATTCGTCCGCGTTTACGAAGACGATCCTCGTTTGTACCGACGATCCTTATATTATTCTCGGACCAGCGCCCCTACTGATGAGAGATGGTTGTTTTTCTTGTTTTTTGGTCGGCGTTTCATTCTTTTTGAGAATGTTTACGCTTTATGGTCTTGAAGGCTCAAACTCTTATTGGAGTATAGTTTGCTTACAGTTATGAGAATAAAGGAAAGAACACCATATGGCATTAACAAGGCATTTTCTAGCAAAATTTGTACCTCACTCTGTTCATAAGCCAGTTTGTTTTGTATGTAAATTTTAACAAAAGTAGATAATATTCCCGGCCCACCCACTCAGTGTTATTTAGGGTACACGTATGCATGTTCCCTCCTTTTGAAAACACCCTCGTAAGTCTGGTGTGTAAAGTCAATACTGCCCGGATTTTTGTGTACTACGAGCTGGACTTTGGTGCTTGAAAGTACCCCTTTCCTGGACATTTTGGGAACATGCATGCAGTCCCTCCGACCCCGGAGGGGGGGGGGGGCGGGCGGGATAATATTAGTAAATATGTCAAAGTTTGCAGTCAAAATTCAAACAAAGAAAATTGGTACCGTATCCTAAATAGGAGAAAGAGAATGTCTCCCAATTTGGATACATACAAGTGTACAGATCTTAGGTTTCTTACTAAAAGTATAGACACCCTCCCAAGTAAAAAGAGTCTCTAAACAAAATGTGCTTTGTATCTCTAGGCTCTAGGCTCTACTGCCTCATGACTGCAATAGTTAAAGACATTGTAGGCTAAAAAAGTTGTAAAATCATAAATAATGTTGAAGTTCTGAACAGTGTAGAGACCCCCAAATGTTGAAAGTTAGATTGAGCCTAGCCCGGGGCGCATAAACCCTAGAAACATATATTACATGTATCTGGACTGCTGTGAAGAAAGCTTGTGATGAGCCCTATGTGAGAGATACACATTGAGATTCAAAATTTAGGGATTTTGGTGTTGTTGGTTATCTTTATGATTTCAAATCTCTTGCATCTTGTGTTTTCTTATTTCTAGGAAAAAAGATGTAACGCTAACCAAGAAGGATTATATTGCTAACCTGACCGTGATTGCAGAAGGGATTTCTACTGCCAATTTCAGGTATGAACTCTTATTGTAATTAGATATATGTAGTTTTCTTCTTAAAAGCACAACAAATCATCTACAGATTCTGAGGTAAAGGATGTAAACTTGTATTGGCTGATATATTTTTTGCCACAACCTATACCTGACATGTTGCTCGTCTCAGTGTTAACGTCATGGTTTTCAACAAATTTTGAACTGGCATTTATAAGAGATGTATTTTGACACCTGTTTCTAATTTACTATGAGATTTTACTACGTATAATTTACTACAATACTACTATTATGTTAGATCTACAACCCATTAGTTATATTTTAAATAAAGTATACCAGTTTTTTATTTCAGTGCTAGACAAGGAGATATTTGCTGGAATTTTATATGATTTGGTCTACTGTAGCTGTCTGTTCAGAAATGTGTTGGCTTAAAATTCAATCGTTTTGGAAAATACTTTTGTTGTAGATCACTTGGAGAATTTCCCAAGTTTCTTGGGATCGCCATGGAGATATTTTTGACGTCCTGTAACGATAGCGAGTCAGATATCAGACTGAAAGCAGATGAGTGTCTCAACAAGGTCATAAAGGTAATGTGTTATTCCACTAATATGGACTGCTCAAAAGGGCATGGTTAAAACTTTTGCCCAAGGTGATCTCGATACTATACTATGCCCAGATACAAAGTCGAGGGGCATAGTGCAGCCTCGAGATCACTGAGGAGCTACAGTTTATAACTATAATGGATTCAATTTTTTTTTTTACAGCATCCACAGAATCAATTGTTAGAAAGAGATATTTCCTCAAAATATGCCTGTCAAAGTCTACTTCTTTGTAGAGTCTAGGGAAATTTACCTGTCTGATAGCATTGCATATGTCTCACACCCATATCCATTGTTAACTCACTCTAGTACATGTAGCCCTAGGTTCTAATTCCACTGTCATTTTATGACCTCAACTCAAGCCAAATATATTTGCGGAAAATTACCATATTATATTATTGCAATTGATTTTTAATTCTTCTGAATATTATTACTTGAAATATGAAGTTTTTTTAAGGACATGAGGTATGTTGGGCATCAGTAACGCTGCTGTTGGCAATTTTGTTGTACAATGTATTTCTATGTATTTTTTGTCCTTTTTGTATTTTTAGGCTTGCATGGAAAGCAGTTTAGGTCGGCTGCAGTTAGAGCTGTACAAAGAAATTAAGAAGGTATGTCAGAAAATTTTACAAATTATGAAATATTCCAGAGATTGAAAACACGATTTAATACTGATTAATAATCACTTTATGTGTTACTAAAAAAAAAAATTATATTTGAATTACGTAGCATCTGTTTTAATTCCAGGAATTGTTTCTGAATAGACCGGTTTACTAACATATTACTAACAGGAAGTATCTTTCCTGTAGACGTAGTGACTAGTTATTCCATTAACCTGTTATTAATGAATGAACTACAATACTCTAAATCCAGTCTGCATATTACTCATTGGTATATCAGGCAAGCCTCAGGCAAGCTATCGGGTTGTCAAGAGCAACCTTTATTTCAAAAGTATGCATAAAACTTGAATATGTGAGTGAACCGGCCATTTTATTAGATGGAGAAGAATGATGATACATGGATTCGTCATCAGTGTTAAAATCAAAGTCATGTAGGATTTTTGGAAAGAAAGGAAAATCAGTACCACCACCGCCACAACCACCGACAACGCAACAAAATGTCATAGAATGCAGATCATACAATCATGATTTCAGAAAGGAATTCAGACCAACTGAGTCAGGTTTGTACTTTTTCGTACACTGTACATGCCTTTTTGTGTGTTCTTGAAACAAGCTTCATGTAGGGTCGTTTAATGTACACATGCTGTTGATATATTCTCACATCCAGAATGGACCTTCTCGAAGTCTTCGTGCAGCCCTATGGAGATTTGCAGAGATGGCCCACCTGATCCGCCCTCAGAAATGCAGACCTTACGTCATCAATCTCCTACCAAGTATCGCCAGGATATCCAGAAGACCAGAAGATATTGTTCAGGTAAGGATGGGATGGGATGTCAAAGCCCCTGATGAATAAAACTTAGGATTGATGGTTTCTTTGCCATTAATGGTAACTTTCATGGAAACCTTGATTTAATTGGTTGTTGAGTGATGTTGCCATGGTAAGGATATATTGAATGCTTTGAGAGGCATAGTGGTTTCTATAGGGTCAAGGGAAACTCACAACCTGCTATGATCCCAAGGCGCTTGCGCCGCGGGGTCATAGCAGGTTGTGAGTTTCCCGAGACCCTATAGAAACAACTATGCCTCGAATATTAAAAGCAGTCAATATATATTTTATATACCGAAAAAAAGGAAAATGTTGACTCACCCATTTAGGTTTCCATCTCTTTGAAGTCATGAATATTAACACAAAATGGCGATCGGTCGTCTGCGCTGCGTGGATTGGTAGATTCGTCGCCTGAATGCAGCGACCAAAATCGAATTGCACTCAAACACCGTTAACGGTATTGCGCATCGGTCATCGCACAAAAGAAACTTATACGGTAACACGTAAACCAAAATGGGGATCGCAGCAAAATGACGTCACGTTTCACAGCCATGGAAAAAGTGCTATGAAAAATGGATATAAACCGGTAGAGCCGGGAAAAATGACTATGAATTTTAATTAGCGGGCATGGTTAAGAACATGACTGCATTTTCAACCAATCAGAAGACAGGATTAGTAAAGAATCTTAAAATGAGGTATATAATAATTAATATTGATGGCAAAGTTTTAAGAAACAGGGCCCTGAAGAGTTTACAACAGATCCTCCAGTGACAATTGCTCAGCGGTTAAGTTTCCTAGACTAACTTCAACCCTGGACCAAAATCTATTCACTGTAGGTAAACATAGCCTACGTGTAAAACCTAGTTGCATCCCTATGTCTAACCCTATGTCTTTGATGAGATAAAGCCTGGAGCTTGTGTCAGAGAACCATCCAAGGCCTTGAACTATTCAATATTAAACCAAAGAATCTACTGATATTTTGTTTTCCGTCATTAGTTCTAGGCCTGAATAGAGGAATCATAGCTATAAATCCCTTGATTGCTCTGAGAAGAAAAAATGTACTCACAACTCTTGGTTTTATCGGTACTTTGAATGAGCATAAAACATGCAATGAAGCTTTTGGTACCATTATACCTTGAGTATGTGTAAATGCATAGTATGTCATGGTTATGAACACCTCAAGACTCATGAATGTATAATTATATTATGAGCTTTCATGAAGATTTTGCAAAAACCAGCAGGAAAAAAAAATTGTTCTATTTGCATATTCTGCTACACTTAGTCATTGAAAACACTAAAAATACAATTTGTCATATATCGACATAGCATTTATTAGCTCACTATTTTTGTGTGAATGTTTCTTTTGATTTGGCATTTGGCAGAGAGCAAGTTTCTTTCATTGTTTTGTCATGAAATGCTTTTGCTGTAGCAGTGGTTATCTTTACACAGTACAATAACACGATGAACTATCTTTTTCTAATTTACAGGAAGCCTTGATGAATTTCCTCATCAAAACTCTTCCAGTTCTAGGCACCTTTCTTACAGACACAGAAGTCAAGGTGATTATTTATTTCTCTTTTTATTACATTTTTTTCGATTTTTTTTTCATCTTCATACAGGTACCTGGTAAGTCGTTCCATAGAATACATTCATTCTCCTAATCTCAAAACGTGCAAGTCTGAAACAACTAATTGGAATTTGGACCTCTTTTGCCTATGTGGATAAAATGATAGTCATTCAGATTGGATTCATTCACCAGATTACATTACAAGACCAACATTGACTTTGTAATGTTGTATGCTTGTAAGGATAACGGATCAAGTATGTTTATATATATTGAACATTAATAGAATGATGTGGCTTCCCAGCCTATGCAGCCTCATTCTCTTATCTCTGCATCAAAGTCCTTAATGTCTTTTGATCATTTTCCCCAGAATTTTATGAAGAACAAATCTTCAAGCCATATAACTAATAGTCCTGAAAGATATATCACATTCTAAGAGTTTATGATCAATATCTTTTGAAATCATCTTACAGAATCTGATGAAGGTGTTATTCCCGAACCTTAAGCACACCTCGGCCACCACAAGGAGAACAGCAGCTAGGTGTATTGTCTTGATCTGTCAGTACGGTCGCAAGCCTGCCCTCTACTTCTCATGGCTTGTGCAGGCTCTACTCAGTGAGTTTGATAGTGATTACGAAGATAAACCATGTCTCATTGTGATATCTTTACATTTTTTTTCTTTACAAGATGACATATTCTTTGATATCATAGATCAAAATCACTTTTACACAGAAAAGTGCACTCAAGCTTTTTATATTTGCCTATAAATGTATATTTTTTTAATTTTTAATTTTTATTTGTTTGCACGTTTTTCATGTAGTTATGAATGAAGAACTTGCTCCTCTAACTAATCAAAATATTATTTTTATGTATAATTGGGGAATGCCAGGCATACATGTAGCAACTATTTATGTTCTGTGAAGGTTCTCATACTGAGTAGATGTTTTTTAATTAAAAACATAGATTAACATCATCGACATTGTAGTATCCTAATCAATCTACCCCTGAATCTAGTGTCCAAGCTTCAGAAGCTTCAAAACGCTGCAGCTCGTATTGTTTCTCTGACCACCAAGCGTACCCACATTTCCCCAGTTTTGCAGTCGCTACACTGGCTCCCAGTAAAAGATTGCATTGTTTTCAAAATTTTGTTGCTTACCTTTCATTGCGTTCACGGCTCTGCTCCTCAATACCTTATCTCTCTAATCCAAAACTACACTCCTGCAAGACCTCTACGCTCATCCACTTCCAATTTTCTTGTAACCCCCAAAATTACCAAAACGTGGGGGGGAAGATCATTTGCATACTCTAGTCCTAAATTATGGAATGGCCTTCCTGAAGACATCAAAAAATGTTTATCCTCTGATTCTTTCAAAACTCATCTCAAAACATTGCTTTTCAAGTCTTGATCTTTTTTCCTGTTTACACGCGCCTTGAGCACTCCACAGAGTGGATTTGGCGCGATATAAGTTACATTATTATTATTATTATTATTATTTGTATTGAAGGATGTTGGTAAATTATGTTAAAAAATGGAAAAAATGGAGGAATTAAGCGAAATGTTAGGTCAGAAAGTGTAGTCTGAAAGTTGGATGAAGTGAAGGACTATCACATTCATGAAATTTAATCAATTAAAAACATTCATCGCTATGATATTTATGCACCCAATTTCAACTAAGTGTGTAATGAAGTGGTTTGCATTCTATTCTTTTTGTAGTGTTTGTAATACCTGTGAAGGAGAGCTTCCCGGTTCAGATCCACCTTGGTGTCTTGCTCTGCTTGCGTTACACCGTCCCTCACCTGGTCATGCAGAGGGCAAAAGAACAAGGGTTAAAGGGCAGCTTTGGGGTCACCAAGAAGGAAGAGGAGACTGGAGTCAAAGATGAACAACTTGTAAAGGTATGTTTGCTTCATCAGTATTAGATTTTTGTTCGTTTGTATGAAACCTTGTATCTGGGGAAGTTAAAATGAAATTAAGTTAGAAAATCAAATGCTTCTCAATGTCATTTATGATGTGAATATCAGGGCTATTATTATTAATTAGGCGTCGCCTGAATCACTGTAACCCTCTGGTCTCTCCTCCCGGTATAACTGATTGGGGGTGTGCAGGTGGACCACTACACCTGGGTTTCCCCCTACTCTTATACGAATAGTGCAGTGGGTTCTTAAAGTGCTAAGGTAATGACTCTTCTCTACATGGGGCCTCCATTCAACGTCCTATACGAGGGACTGAGTGTTTTCCACTTAACATAGCCTGCGTCTATGAAACAATGTGAGGGGCACGTTAACACACAACGCAGGCTTCAATCTTCTGCCAGGGTGGGATTCGAACACGAGATCTTTGGTTCGACAGTCAGTTGTTTTACCGACTGAGTCAACTCACCTCCTCCTCAAGGGTTTAGTCTATTCAGTCATAAGTTATTCCCCCAAATGCTTTTAAATAGTTTGTTCCTGTCATTTATCATCATTTTCATATGCGTTTGTTTTGACACAGATCTTTGAGTACCTGATCCATTGCACCAGGCACGCTGACCACAACGTCCTGACTGCAACACTGGATGCCCTTCAGCAGCTCTTGAAGGACCCTCCCAAACCCTTACTGGACATCCTGATGTCCAAGGAGGGGATTGCCAAGATCAGCATCTATGAAGACAAGGAGAAAGGGTCTCCGAAGGATGGAGAAGGGCCTGCTGGATCAACCACAGGTAGGAATAATACAGACTGGGGGGTGTTTCACAAAGATGCTAAGTTGAACTTATCTCTAAGTTGAACTTAAATATTATGGAAAGCCATTTGTAGCCTTATAATGAAATACATTCAGAAGTAAAATTGAAGTATTTTAGACTTTTCATAAATTCCACATCAAGAATATGAAATCTCTTTCATAATAGAAAACTATGAATGATTGGAATCAACATTTTAAGCCTCTTAAAATAACTTTTTACAAAATATTTTAATAGATGTTAACAGCGTTCCAAAACTTTTAAGTCCAACTTAGAGATAAGTTCAACTTAGGATCTTTGTGAAACACCCCCCTGGACTTCTGTTCAGAAGAAAAGTTCTTCAGCGCTTGGTAGATTTCAACACCTAGGGTTCCATACTAACTCTTTTTAATAAAGGGGACTCTTTAGATTTTCATTTGCTTTCAGTGACCCCAAAGTCCCATGTTCTCTTCTTGTTCTTCTGTATAACGGTGAACTTAAGTTGATCCAGAATCTGTACATGCATGTATCCATAAGACCATGACACGTCAACAAAAAATGTTCCTCTGAAGGTCAAAACAACTCTTAATATGATTGAGATTTATTAATTAAGTAAGGAGTGGTACATATTTAGACGAATGAAAGTTACGATATCTTGAGCATATCGGTTTTCATCCCACAGAAGGTGAGGAAGGTAGCACCTTCACGACCGACTCGGGTCTCGATGAAGACCAGTACTCTACATCAGCACCATCAGAGACCTCATCTTCCGGTCTAGCGACCACACCCACCTCCGCCCGGTACTCGACCACCAGTCTAGAGTCCATCCCCTCCTCTCTCTATGCCGACGCCCAATCGGGCCGCACCTCCCGTGACCTCTCCGCGTTCGGTGACCAGAGCAACGCCAGTCTGGCCGATCTTGAGACCGAGACCTCAGAGCTCGTCATGGATGATGGAACGTCCGATTACTCCAATATGGCGATCGGTGGTGTGGAGGACAATGGAGGAGATGTTGGAAGGGTAGGGTCGGAGGGTGTAATGGAGAATGGTGGAGAGGAGGTAGAGCAAGGCATTGAGGCAGATGATTACGCTGCTACAACGCCCTCTAGTGATGAGGTCTTGGACAGTCCAGGAGATACAGATGATATCAGTCCTATACGGGACAGGACTGCCACCATTGAAGAAGGCTCACCTGATGTAGAAGTAACATTTAGACCTGGAGATATTGGTGAGTAGGAACGTTTGATGATAATCAGGGCGTAAACAATTAAACATTTGGTCGGCAAAGTTAATGACACAAAGCAAAATCCATTCATTCTTGATTAATTCCTCCTTTTGTTTGCTTAAATTCACAAATTTCAAAATAAAATATTTGTCATTGTAATTTGTATGACCTGCTACCTTCCTGGTACATATGTCCTTTGACAAGGACATCTTATCTATAGCTGTCTCTCTTTACCCAGGTGTTAATTGGTACCTGGAAGGATGTATTCCTTGAAATACCTTCTGTGCTGATACTTGTTGCTGGAGCTAAAGCGAAAGGGTTAGTACATGGGTTGGGGTGTTATATCACGTGATATGCGCTGTGCAGATACAATTTCACACATTGCATACTAAAACCGTGTAGCTCCTTTAAGAAAGTCTATGAGAATGAGATAATTCAGCAGTCAATGGGATAATATTCTTCTTCTTCATTACAGGATGCTATACTGATGAGGACTTGCCCCTGCGTCATCTCTTACGTCTACTGTCCAGCTCTTTCCTACTGACCGGTTACCAGGGGTCACTCATCCCTGACCGCAAGGCTAGGGTCAGCGTGAAGGTACTGGCCATGGGCTGTGCTGGTCATATCATCGGCATGTACCCCAGGCTTTTCTTTGACCGTCTCTTCAAAGGAACAGAAGGAGGAGTCAAAGTAGAAGGTTAATATCACCTAGTTAGGATTAGGATGATGCTGGTCTGTGGTTGTTGCTTCTTCTTGTACTTTAACAGACCAGTGATGAGATTGTAATGATGATAATAATAAGTAGATTCTTTATAACTTATTATATGCCTTATACTTGTAAAATCTCTTAGTAGTAGTTGTAGAATGTTAAAAGGTTTATTTCAAGAGAATGTCTATCAAAACAAACTAAGTCTTGCAAAAAAAAAATTGGTAGAAAAAAGAAAAAAATATTATCTGTTCATTGTGCAACTTTTTTCTTCTTCATGTATGCAATGATTCTTGAGATATCTTCAAAATCCTTTGAACAACTTTAAATGACCAATCAACAAGACATATTTGCAATTATTAATGAGCCTTGTGAAATTAGCATCATCAACCTCAGGTGGCGCTGTAAAGTGCTGCTGTGGACTTCACAACAGAACGCCATGCAACATGAGTTAACAAATGAATGAATCAATAATTGTACAAATGAAGGCATAAATAAATAAATAAATGAAAAAATGAATGAATAAATCAATAAACAAATGAAGGCATGAAAAAATGAATAAATTGATTATTTCAATTGACAGATGAGCAATACATCCGTGACCTTCTTCTGTACGTGGGTCACTCTGACCCCCAGCTGAGAGGACAAACCTTACTGCTGATTGGTCAAATGTTGAAGGCTTCTCTGATTGAATCCAATTACCTGTACACTGATTGGTGCTGGCGGATATGTGAAGAAAGTAATACAGGTAGATACCTCCACTGTACTATGAAGTACTCTTGTATTTTTGTTTATATTTTTTCCCTATCGCCATTGGATCTTGGAGTGAATCCCTTCCAGCAGCTCCTTGAAGTTATCCCAGTAGATCTTAGCCGTTATTTTAGTTTTGCTTGGTCCGTTGTGATAGTTCTACTTCTGTCCTCAAAATTGTTGTATTGTCATCTTCATGGATAAGAACCATTATTGCAGAATTACATCTGCTAGGATTATATATTGATAATGTGTAGTTTCATCAATTGTAAGTCTCACATTAAAGTGGTAATAATAATGATAATAAGAATGTATGTTGTTGGGTAGATCCGGATGTGGTACAGCCAATTAAATTACATGATTTCTTTAGCATATTACATTTAATGTAACTGGTTATTGATAACAAATTTAATGAAACATATCCAAATCATTGCCATCTCAGCAATTTCATGTCAAGCATTACAACTTATCAGTATTAAAGTATTGATATAGTATCTTGGTCCTGTCTTATGAAGAGTTTAATTTATCCAAAGCAATCACAAACCCTCTACATTTTTACCCTCTTATGTTAAAGCCCCTCTACATTGTTGGGAGCCTCAAATTTGCTTAAAATTTGATGGCATAATTTCATGTAAACTTAATGTGAAAGAGGATGTCATTTACGAAACATTTTTGCAAAGTTTCTACCCCAAAATGTATTTGAAGACAAATATTGATAAAAGAATACATAATTTAGGTTTTCTGTTGTATGCAGAAAACCTAAATTTTGTATTCTTTAATCAATATTCGACTTTGAACACATTTGTTTTGAAAATCGTTGCAGAAATGGGTCTTAAATGACATCCTCTTTCACATTATGATACATTAAGTGGAATGTTGTCATCAAATTTTGGGGGCTCTCAACACTTTAGAGAGGCTTTAAGAGATGTGATTGTAATTAACCTTTTTAAAGTTAAGTTGCTGTCAATTTAGATCAATTGCAAGTGATTAATGTATGTTTGTTCTGTGCAGATCCAGTAAGCATTGAGTATCTGGTGTCCCTGCTCTCCACATCGGTCTCGGATGATTCCTCTGTCACTGCAAGAAGTATATGTCAATCGGCCAAGGTATGTCTAAACCAGATCATCATCATCAACATCATCATCATCATCTCCATCATTTTCATCATCATCTCCATCATTGAAGTTTAAAGTTTGAAGTTTATTTATTCCACATTTTACATTAAAAAAACAGTTTAAATTCTTTTTTTTATATTTTGTATACAGGCGTATAAGAGTAGATTTCACACAAGAAAAAAATAAAATATAAAAGATTTCAAATCAAGTATAATGTACGGGAATAAGTACAAAATTTCAAAGTATATACACCACCACCATCATCATCATCATCATCACCATCATCATCATCTTTATCATCATCACCATCATCATCATCATCATCACCATCATCATCATCATCATCATCATCATCTTCATCATCATCACCATCATCATCATCATCATCATCACCATCATCATCATCATCATCACCATCTTGGCTACAGTGAACTATCAGTCAAGTTCACCCAATTATACATATCGTCGGTGGGGTGACAAAACCTCGTATCTCAAAAATCATGAATTTTCAGGAGAGCAAAAAAACATTTCCTGTCTCAACAGATTTAGTGCTGTGACACCGTCCTTTGTGTGGAATTTGTGAAAAAACCGAGACAGGAGGTGTTCCATGGATTTATCAGGTGGTGTCGTAGGCCATTAGGTACACAATTATGGAAAGAAAAAAAATCTCAAAAAATTGAGATACAAGGTTTTGTCACCCCACCGACGATATATATATTTTTAAATATCTGTTCTATTGCTTATACTCACAGTCTTTTAAATGTGCTTTGTGTCTTTATACAGCTGTGCCTTCAAGAGCTATGCAGAAGTTGTCATGGCAATTTAGGCCTGACGTTGACCTATGACCTTTTGAAACTGTCCAGTACCACGTATTGGTTGGTTCAAGTGGAGCTAATGGAATTGATTAGTGGATTTGACTTCAAGTAAGTGACGATAGATGAAAACCCATATTTAGTAGATATATTATGGATACAGATACATATAGCTTCTGCTATATTCTGAAACGCTATCTTTATGTTAGATAAAAGATGTTAAATCTCAAAACAAACTGTAATTGTTGCGGAATAAACAATTTTATTGGTGCTAGCGGAGATGTCTACTCAGCCGACTTTGTGCAGATATTAATCACTGAATTTTCTTAATAATGATTTGTTATGACAATGTACATCTTTTCACTGAACATAATATATAACATACCAATAGTTTTCATAATACCACCCCAGTTCTTATATACTACATTTAGGAATATACGTTGTTGCAACAGAAGTTGCTAGGAAATATATAACATCTGCAAAATATGCCAACAGGCAGTAGTTTGATATGATCTGCAATAGCAAAGAAATGAATTGCAGTGTCTTAGAGAAAGGCAATGCATCCTTTCCACTAGCTCCCTTCTTGTCTTATTAATGTTTCTTTACCCACTATCTCTCTTTCTCTCTGTCTGCCTGTTTGTCTCTCTCTCTTTCTGTCTGTCTGTCTGTCTGTCTGCCTGTCTCTCTCTCTTTATATATGTCTGTCTATCTCTCTCTATGTATTGTCCTGATTATGTACAGACTGCTTCACTATCTTGAGGCCAGGAAAGTGGAGGAGCTGAAGAGAGGATACACGTTCATGGTAAGCTTGTCTTAATGAAAGTAATTTGTGATTAATTGTGCTGCATGTAGCAGCAAGGAACTTTTCCTTCATTCACTATTTGTGTGAAGTTTCTATGGTAAAGCTTAAGCAAAATAGATGTTACACTGAAATGATAAACTATCAAATTCAGGAACTCACAATATAAATAGAACATCATTCAAACCTCGATTGCAACACCAACGCTAACCCTAAATCTTTGATGAAAGAATGCCCAGAGCAATTTTATTGCTGGAGCAAATGTTGAATCCCCCAAAGTGTACCACAGACTGAATAATTGTTGCCAGAGCATGTGTTGTAATATTGACAGTGGCACTCTGACTCAACTTTCAAGAATACTGACTTGAAATACTCTGTGCATCGATAACGGCGGGCGGAGCTAAAGTCTAGGTAATTCCAAAGCTCTTTTGAAGCGCATATGTGCAGGTACGTTATATCACAATGTGCTTTGCGCTATACAAGAACAGAATATTATTATTACTTATTGTTGTTGTTTTTACTTTGTTGTTACAGAGAGAAGATATTCAGAGAGTAGTCCTAGAGGAGGTGGTTCTCAAGCTCATAGGTAGTGAAGATGGCAGGGTCAGAACTGCAGCTGGAGAGGCACTTTCCAAGTAAGTCAGGAGACAGCCCCCTACCTCTCTCTTTTTGTTTCTTTATTATCACTTTATCAAAACTTTATTTTTCAGAGTCTGATTTAATTTTTATTTTTTAATGATTCCTCTGTCTATATATTTGTGGTCTGTTTGATAGAAGAGGCATTTGTGAGATTACAAATAACCGCCAAAGAAACAAGAGAAACCTGACCTCAATCACATGCATATCACTGTGAATTGATATCATTTTGTTAAGTTCAAATTTGGAACTGTTATTTTGCTGATGGTTCTTCTTTGTAGAAAGATAGGAATGATTTCAGATTAACTTGGTTCTACTGTTGGTGCAATGAATATAGCATTATAAGATTTGTATGTAATATATTTGTAACTTACTTTATTTGAAGTATGCCTGTAAGGATATGCTGGTACATGTTCTTGTAGGTACCAGTTTTTATGCAAGTATAATGTTGCAAAGCATTTGTACATTTAGGCAGAAATGATTCATCGATCTATACTTTGAATGATCAATCTGTTTATGTCTAGACTTGTACCAAAGCTGTTCTACCCAGTGGACCAACCCCACCAGGAATCCATCTCTTCCCTAGCCAAGGTCCATGTGTCCCGCTACCTGGACCCTGTGATGAGGGACCTCCAGCCATACACTCCGGCCATCACAGCCACCATGGAAAGCCTGCCGGTGTTCCAAAGCAGATCTTCAGAGGGAGGATGTGCGTTCTCTGAATCGGCTCTCTCCAGGATGGTATCTGTTCTCTTTGATGTCATGAGCAACACCATGTCCAGATACAGCACTGTGAGTCAAACTCTCGTCTTTCTATTCTTTTTTGTACGTCTATGATAAGTTTGATAAACATACAGTTCTCCTCACTTTGTATATTACAAGCCTATCCACTGATAACAATGTCTGGTGCTAAACAGTCTTCAGAGTAGGGTTGTGATGAAAAACGCTTGTTCGAAAAACAAATGCAGATGATTTAAACAAAAATGGAATAGTGCTCAAGTTCGATGCAACCTCATTCTTTGGGATGAATCAAAGCAGGAGTATGAATGAGATTGCATGAAAAATATCTGCAATAATAAAACTTATTTGTGGCTTATGTTTAAATAATTGAAATTTCTCCTAGGAAGCATTACATTTATAAAAAATCAATAAATAATTGAACTGTACTAAAATCTCCTCAGACCTACAATGTACCCTGCATGGCACGTAGTAAGAATTATGTGTATTTCTATGTAAGTGTATCTTGTATAAGTCTTGTCAGCTAGCTAGCACAAACTGAGGAACACCTTCTCAATTATTTGTTCTAGAGGGAAAGCCCAATAGTCGGAAAGGGCATAATTATGAAGCTTTACCTTACAATGCTATTTTATGATACAATGCTATTTTATGATACCGGTAGTCTTATTTATAACAATTCAAGATAACATTACTTTGAAGACTATAGTACTTTAGGAACTTGGCAACACTACAAGACATAGAATGAGAATTATTAAACGATTTGAAAGATGTTCAATATTCCTTTGTGAAATACATGTATCTCAAAGAAAGCACAAAGGTAACATTTTCTTTGCTTTCCCAATGCAGTATGGGTGTGTACGTGCCCTGGCCAGACTCTCAAGCAGTTTCCCAGTGACACAGCACCCTAGTGCTTGGGGCTGCTCTCAGAATCCTTCCTCTCTGTCTCGCTCTCATGATGGAGGAAGCCATCCCAAGCTACAGAGGCAAAGCAGTCTCACATACAAAGGAGGATCAGGCACTAGGTAACTACAGTCAAACCTGCTTTAGTGACCACCTGTATACAAAGACCACCTGTTTACAAAGACCCCCTGTCAACAAAGGCCACATCTTTTTGTTTCCCTTGAAAATGGTTTCTCTTTGAAACATGTACTAAAGGAACCTGTCTACAAAGACCACCTGTATGCAAAGACCACTTTTCTTGTCTCCCTTGGGTGGTTTTTATAGACAGGTTTTACTGTACTTTAATCAGTGTTTTCGAAGGGGACTTTCAGCCTATTCTCATTCTTGTTCCTTTTTCTAAACCATGCTGTCTTTTCTTTCCCATGTATCTCCTTTTCCAATCTCTGTCTCTCTGTCTCTGTCTCTCTCTCTCTCCCCCCTCCGTACTCTCTTTCAAATCCCCTTTCTTGCCTATCGGTAATCATCTTGTCTATATCTTATTCTCTTCATTCACTCCCTTGTTGTATAGTTCAAAGGGTAAATCTCAATACAAGGCTTTCTCTTGTAGTATTTATGGGCAAATTTCGAAGTAAAGGGACAATCTTTAAGCATTGAAAGAGGTATTTTTTTTTCATTTGGAAAAGGAGGGAAGCACTTCCCTCCACCATTATCCTTAGATTCACTGCCCCTAGTACAACTGTGTGTATATGTATAAAAAAACAAACTATTGAAATAAAAAACCTTGAGAGAATTCTCAAGGATTCTTATTTCAATTGTTTTGATTATTATTTGTATGTTGCCGTGACAGAGGATTATCAACATTAAATTTAGTTGTGCTATATATATCTATACATGTAATCCCCCCAATATTATTCCTGACCTCGAATAAAGTATCCTTTCAAAAGAATGATTCCTAAAACCTTGTTAATGCTCACAAAGTAGACTCTATCAACCAGGGTTTTTCTTCCTTTCACCTAATATTTCCATAGCATTGGAAGCACAGGTAGTGGAGTAAGTCCTGAGGAGTTGGCTGGAGGGACTGGATGCGGGAGTCTACCACTGGTTGTCTCTCTTCTCACCTCCTCTGTAGCTATGCTCGACCTTGCGGCCCAGCATGACATGCTTCAATTGGCCACCAATCTACTTCTAGGTGAGGAGATGAATCAGTAGCTTTATGATAAAGTTAACCCATCGCCTACTGGAACTGATGGGTCCCTGTATTATGCCTATGGGAAATAGGGAATTCTGTAGTCAACGTGCTATAATAATAATATTTTTGCAGAGGGTCACCTGATCCGTATTAACACTGCTCTTCCAGAGCCCTGCAATTACTATTACTCTAGCATTACCAGGTAGCCAGTTCATACACCTGCGTTACTTCAATAACGTGAAAAGTATTAAAGCAATTTCAAACAAGGCTTGGATGAAATATGTATGAGTATACAAGGATGACCTGCTTAGATTTTGGGTGGAAGAGGTTAAAGGTCATAGGTCACTGGGTAATAAAACTGTTTAAAAATACTTCTGTACTGTATTGACTTGAAAAAAAATTGGAGCAAATGAAACCAAAGTTGGCTTAAGGTTTAGACTTACTTCGGGTAAAAAGGTAAACCAGTTATTTCTGCAAAGCAAAACTTTACTTTACAAAAGACTTATTTTCTTTCTTGAACTTATCCTGACCCTTTGACAGGTGCTGCTGCCAACTCTCTCAAGAGCAGCATCTCCAAGAAGATGACCTCCCCTGCGACCTCTCCATCCCAGGAGGGGGAGGGGAGCGGAGAGAGCTGGCAATGTCTCAACAATCGACTCCTGGTGCCCATCGTGGAGCGCGTCTTGCTTCATGTCACGCGCCTGGTCAGCATCTTCAGTCATGTGATCGATAACCACCAGCCTGGCCCCGCCAAGTCACAGGTGTGTTGGAGGGAGGAAATAATTTAACTTATTTTATTGAGACGGTCCCTCTCATTTATTAGGTAGCCTTCGATTAGCCCGACCGACGTGATCTATGACATAAAATTGGCACTGAAACCTTCTGCGCACGAGTCAAGTTGATATGCGTCATTGGCTGGATCCTACGAACGCATATGGGGTTAATCTGCGTTGTGGTGAAAACGAGAAATTCAGCTGTATATTGATCTCCAAGAGTGGGTCACATGATCACAATGGTCATGTGAACAGGCCCGTTGCTGTCTAGTCCGACAATGAAACAGTTTTTTGTAAGACGGGACTTGTTAGGAGACATGACAGTAAATATCATATTGTAGATCAAGTCAGTCCTGCAAATCGTAAGCTCCTCATTATTTGTTTTGAGAAGGCAATAACAAGGCATACTTTGAGTTTATTTTCTGTCTTATTTTGGCTTTCTGTTCATTCTTGCGATTAACTCCAATGATTGAAAAACTCTAGTACTGGTATGTCCGTTTTCGTTGCTATTTTTTGATTTTGTAATAGTAATCATCTCATATGTGTGTGTGTGTATTTATGTATCTACGACAGACTGCTCTACCATCCCTCCCAGCTGGCCCTTCTCTTAGTCCTATCAAGAGGAAGAGTAAGATAGGAAGGGACAAAGACACACCAGACCAATCACCAACAACACCTCAGAATCCCAACAAACCAACACCAGGTAAAGAACTCCAACATTCTCAACCACTCAATCTTTATAATAGTCTTGGTTTCAAGGTCAAACTTTGAAGTGAACACATTGCCTACCATTGCTAAGTAGTTCCTGTGTTAAGTCTAAGAGAATGAGAAAATTGAGTAGTCATAATGTTAAAGGTACTTTTGGAACTTTCTTAATTAGAAATTCTTCTGGTTAGAACATCAGGAAAACTAATATAATCTGACAATGGATCAATAGCACTTCACAAAATATGACGTTTATATGTGATTTTGATTTTTTTTCTTCCAAATTGCTTCAAGAAATTGCAATAAGTAAACATAAGAAATTCAAAAGTAGCAACTTACTTTATTATTACACATGATAGTCTATTATATGTGCTATACTCATTCATGCAAATTAGACTCATGCCAAATTTAACTGCTTTTACTTTTTTGTACATTTTAACTTGAACTCACTGAAGGAATAATCATCCCTGTGTTTCTCTTTCTCTCCCCTCCCTCCAGATAAATCTGATACATCCGAGGAGAAGAAGTCCACCAAGTCTAGCTATGGATCCTTCTACCAGCATGCACACTACATGAGGATATATGAAACATTGAGAGGAGCTTACAAAAACTATAAGGTAGAGGCAGGCTTCCTCTTGAGAAAATTGTCTAGATTTGGTCCAAATTTAAAGTAATATGATCTTGCTTCACCCCAGGGAGTGATATGAGAGGATCAAAGTAATTATACAAGTTTTAGAGGGGAAGTCCACCTTGATATTTAGTTACATGTAGTATCAAATAATGTTTTGGGTACACTTTCAGATGTTGATATGATGTCAGATGTTGATTCCCCCCCCCCCCCCCATATTCAATACAATACAATGTAATAATCTGAATACTTCTTACTTTCAAGTGTATACTTTTTGTTGTCCTCCTTCTCTTGTTCAAATGTAATTGGTTACGAACGTACAATCTGATGTGTTATTTGATGTTCAAGAATAAAATGATTTTGAATTGAATTGAATTAGATATTTTAATTACGTTTAACTCATTGAGTTACCTTTAACTTTCATTTAACATACCTTTAAACTTTTCATCTACAGGCAACGTTAGAGCTCACCAAACCTGACAAGTTCTGCCTCTTGCTCAAGATGTCTTTATCCTGTCTCGGTCAGCTACTTGAGCTAGCTTCCATTACTGAAGTGGGCCATGTAAGTCACTTAGTGGTAGATGCAATCCATTTTGCTTTTAATTTAGACTTCTCAAAGAAAACAAGGACTTGCTCATGAGCTAGTGTAACTTCTTCTCTTGAATATGAAAAACTGATGGACAGTTTTATTCTTTATGTTAGAACAAATATTGTAAATGTAGCTTGAATTAGAATTAGAATAAGTAAAAAGAAATTGATATTGCAACTAAAAAAAAAAAAAAAAAAAAATGTCTGCCTGCTTTTCAAGATGCCATTATCTTGTCTCAGTCCGTCACTAAACTTGGGAAAAAAAAAAAAAGCTATGAAAAGTTAAGGCTGTGTATAACAAGTACTTGCCTATTTATGTTTTTTCTTTTATAGTAACAGCATTTAGATATTAAATCGTTGCATATTTCTCATACAAGTAAGGTGATGCCTTTAATTTTGTTCAAATCTCAGTTGTATGTTTTGTCTGTCATTGAATCTTTTATTTACAGTTTTAATGAGAATGTATTTGTTGTTTGTTCTCTTCTATAGTATGTTGAGGAAATTTTAGGCTATCTCAAGTCTTGTGTCACCATTGAACCTACGATGACCATATTGTGTGTTGAACAGGTATGTATGATAACGCTAGATGGGTGTGTGCATGAACCTTGCTTCATATTCTGTTTTTCGAATCAGCTGCTAAAACTGAGCGCATTTCCTATACTTAACAAATTGTATCTTTGAAATGTAATATCACATTTATAGCTGAACAGCTATTTTGACACTAGAGACTTGCAGCACATTCATTGAAAATAGGTACTGACTTCAGTGTATCTACATGCAAAATATTAAGGATGCTTTCAAAACAGCATAGATACAAAGAAAGAAAGAAAGAAAAAGGCAAAGAAAGAAAAAGAGAAAAGAAGGAAAGAGAAGGAAGAAAAAAAGAAGAAAGGAAATATGATTGACTTACAAAGCCTGATCAAGCATGCCTTCAATTTGTTTTAAATCTTCATTATTATGAGGTACTTTTGCATCAAGTCATTTAAAATGTTTCTTCTTCTTCTTGATATGCACTTCTAATCTTCTCCAAGCTCTTGAAGGCTCTATTCTTCACCAACATGGCCAGCGCTCAAGACCTCTCCTCACCTCACCATGCTCGTAAGACTGGTAAAGCTGCTCGTCTGACGTCCAACATGAAACCAGGGCTGTATCATGATTGTTTCATCGCACCCTACACGCAGTACACTCAGTGCTTAGCTTCAATGGGACCTAAGCTGACGACTACTCCGGATACAGAGAATGAAAGCGTTGGGTAAGTTGCATCACTTATATCTCCTTTTTAGATGTAGAGGGTTTAGTTGTGGCAGAGAGTCTTTTATGCGGGTCTTTCGTTTATCTGTCCTTTTATGTGGACAACATGTAAAACCGTATGTTATTTGAATCCTTTCTACCTTGTATATATTATCTATTATTTGAGTTTTATATTGAACTGGTTTCATGTGAAAAAAGATTAAGAAACTGTTCCATTGCAAGCCGGTATAACAAGGATAACTCTGAAAAGTGTTTCTTCCTTATCTTATTTCTTTCTACTTTTGTTTTTAACTGTAATACTCCTTATCCTTCCTCTGTGTTTTCTTCTCAATTTTTCTTCTCCTCTTCCTCCTCCTTCATCTCATTTCTTGTTCATGTCCTTTGTCCTGATAGGGTATTTGGTTGGATCAAGACAAGAGCAGACAGACGAGCTAGTATGACATCAAAGAGTAGTAAAGACAAGGTCAGTACATGAAACATTCATTTAAGCACTCTTACATTACATGTACATGCTTCATGCTTGATAAGCTCCTGCATATTTTCTTTGTTAAGAGATCGAATATTATTCACATTTAAATTTCAAAACATGATCTGAGGCCTTTAAGCTTTCTCTTTATTCATTCATAATCGATAGTTCTTCACATTTGAACTCAAGAATCAGATATGGTGTGTGTTAAGCATTATTCCATAGGTCGGTCAAACAAAGATGGAAATTTATCATGCTGTATTTTGTGTTGTTAATTGTTCATAAGAATCTGAGCAGATAGTGGAGGACACATACTTGACAAAGTTTGAAAGCTAGAAAGCCTACCCTGTGTAAACAAGACATATTGGGACTGAATTGTTATCTCTGTTTCATTAATTCTGAAGGGCATCACTAAAGGAGTTCGACTTTCATAGAATTTGGTTGTCATGGTTCCCTTATACGATAGTGATTGTCATTGGTGGACAAATAAAAACACTAACTTGACCAGGCTTTGAATCTTACTTGCGACCCCTGCACATTCCCTTTCCAATCAACACCATGAAACATCTATAACCATGCTTTAAAGGAGGCGCGATAGCTCAGTCGGTAGAGCAGTGATCTCCTATCTGGTGACCCTGGTTCGAAACCAAGGCGATGAGCTAGTGCCCTTTGGTAAGGCATTAATCCTCATTACCAGGTCTCTCGGAGAAGACTTTAATCCGTCGGTCCTCTGGTTGCTTACTAACAAGCATTCATGCTTTCTTAGCAGTCAGGTAAAATAACCACTACTACTACTAATACATGCTCATTTTCATATCTGTATAGACTGCAGTTCAGAACTACATCCGTCTGTTTGAGCCTCTAGTGATCCGGGCCCTGAAGCAGTACACGGTCAGCAGCTGTGTGGTCCTACAGCAACAGGTCCTACATCTCCTGGCCCAGCTGGTCCAACTCAGGGTCAACTATTGCTTGCTAGACTCAGATCAGGTACAGGAGCTGCAATATCACATTTATTTTGATTGTTTCATGTTTTCAAGTTTTGATTGTTCCACATTTAAAAACAAATTTAGACATACAAATTATACAGTGTGTCCCAGAAAAAACGAAACCGAGAAGTATCGATGTTCTATCTTAACTTAATCAAAACCATAATTAATGAATGATACATATTTGGAAAGCTTAGAGTCTCCTCTTTCATGTGATGCTACTCAGATAATGCATATTTCACGCATGAGTGATTAAAAGCAATTTGAAGGAAGGAAACCAAAAAGACATTTGGCGGGCGGTATCTGAATTTCGAAGAAAAATTCACATTTCTAGAAAGTTGAGTTTCTGCCCTTTCATATGACACCTCAATCAGGAAAAATGAGCAAGGAATGACAAGTTCTGTTTGTTTAAAGTAGTGCTTGCATTTCCATAATTTTATTAAACGAATTTGTTTTCACTGGCTGCCTGCCGTATCAATAAACGAAATTAACAAAAGACTTAACTCCGCTTCGTTGACAATCAACCGTAGACGAGAGTCTTCATGCATGGCTGATTGTTAACGAAACGGAGTTAAGTCTTTTGTCAAATCTGCTTTTGGCTACGGCAGGCACCCAGTGAAAATGAATTCGTTTGTTAAAATTATGAAAATGTAAGGGCTACTTTAAACAAACAGAACTTTGTTATTCCTGGCTTATTTTTCTTAATTGAGGTATCATATGAAAGAGCAAAAAAATGAACTTTCTAGAAATATGAATTTTTCTTTGAAATTCAGATACCGCCCGCCAAATTACTTTTTGGTTTCCTTCCTTCAAATTGCTTTTAATCACTCATGCGTGAAATATGCATCACGGGGTAGCATCAACTGAAAGAGGAGACTCTAAGCTTTCCAAATATGTATCATTCATTAATTATGGTTGTGATTAAGTTATGATAAAACATCAATACTTCTCGGTTTCGTTTTTTCTGGGACGCACTGTACAATACATGCAGCATAAATGAGCATGTCTCAATGATTCTCAATTCATATAATAAATTAAGTAGAATATGAGGAACCTATTAAAAAGCAGTGGTTGTATATTATAGGTTCCTGGAAAAAATAAGTATTGTAAATGAAAAAGCAGTAGCAGTAGAGAAAGATGTAATTTAGATGGGAGAATTTAAAACACAATGGAATAAGGAAATTTGTATACAAAATAATGCATTATCGGCAATACCCAGAGTCAGTCGGTTAAAATTGTGGGTCATGTAGAAGTGTTGTGGTCTAGTGGATAAGTCTCTGGACTGTGAACCACAATGTACGGGTTTTGAATCCTGCTGTGGCACTAATGTCATTTGGCAAGACATTAATCTAGATCTGCCACACTCCACCCAGGTGTAGTAAGTGGGTACCTGGGAGGATTCATTCCTTGAATGCACTGAGCGCTTCGGTTGCCGGAGCTAAAGCTAAAACTTTTACTGGCAATTGTACTACAATGAGTTAAAGAAACCTTCAAAACCTGGAATATTGCCAACGTGATTATGCTTAGAATGGAAACAATTTTTAAAATTTGTATACCCATTTGATATCTGTTTCATTATTTTGTCTCTTTTTGACAGATTTTCCTGAACTTTGTTATAAAGCAGTTTGAGTACTTAGAGGAAGGACTTGTCAAGTAAGTATTTTACATTTTGATGTACCCATGTATCTACAAATGTGATATTCTGTTGCAAAAACAAAAAAATCATGAAATAAGCATATTACCTAATATTCAGATATACTAATATTTATTCATGGATTAATTTGCATATCTTACCTTTAGAAAAAAGACAAAATTGAAGTCAATAGCAAGTGCACCATTGACAGTGAAATGACCAATAGATACAATCATCCCTGCAGTAACTCAGGGAAAAAAAATGCATGGAAAAAGGCGTGCAGAATACAAAAAAGGGATATTAGTGATGTTGGTGAATTAAAAGTTCTTATTTGACAAATCTGAATGAAAGTTTTGGTAATATGAAGCCTCATCAAGGCAGCAGCTGTACATGTACAGCTTATACCAGCTTAACATCTTAATGGATTGGATCTACATGTACCTCTATAGGATAGAATTATGACTTTCAACAGTTCAGCAGTTTGTGTTGCGGACACGTCTTTTCATGCCAGTATGTTTTGCTAAGCTACCTTACTTATAGTGATGATTTGATTTACAGTAGCACTCATATTTTATACAATGAAAGAATCTAGGAATGGAAAGACCTGCATAAGCAAATGAATGTATTTTTTATTATCCAGGGGATATGAAGTGCTGATTCCACACATCTTCAACTTCCTAGTTCTGTTGTCATACGAGAGGTTTCACAGCAAACCGGTCATCGCCATGCCCAAGATCATTCAGCTGTGTGACGGCATCATGGCCAGTGGACAACAAGCCTCGACCCATAGTAAGTACTCCTCTAGAAAGTGGTGGTGGTGGTGGTGATGATGATGATGATGATGGTAATGGTAATCATACTGTTCTGTTGTCATACGAGAGGTTTAACAGCAAACCAGTCATCGCCATGCCCAAGATCATTCAGCTGTGTGATGGTATTATGGCCAGTGGACAACAAGCCTCTACCCATAGTAAGTGCCATAAGAAAATGATGATAGTAACGATGATGATGACGATGAGGATGATGATGATGATGATGACGATGATGACAACAATGATGATGATGTTATTGATGATGATGTTGGTGGTGATGATAATAGTAATGATGACAATGAAGTTAGTAGTGTTGATGATGATGATGATGATGACAATGATGATGGTAGTGATAATGATGATGATGATGACAATGATGATGGTGGTGATAAATTTATGATGATGAAGATGATGATGAGAAGACATTCGATGGTACCACAGCTGTTAGAAAACAAGCTTCTCTCTACAGTTAATGCTTTTCATACCATGATGATGACAATGATACCAATCTTTATTGGGATAGGGCTGTTTCCCATCAATCAAGTTCCTCTGCATTATAACTATAGTCCTGCATTTAGTAGGAGCCTTGAAGAATAGTTTATCATCATCAGTCAAAAACAATGTAGATGTACCATAAAGCTTGGACCCTACATGCACTCCTCTACTTCTTTTCACAGTTGTCCCAGCTCTGAAGCCCCTCGTCCATGATCTCTTCATTCTGAGAGCCAACAATAAATCAGAATCAGCCAAGGAGTTAGACACACAGAGGGAGGTGGTGGTTTCTATGCTGTTGAGACTCATCCACTATAGCCAGGTAAAACATATTACAGACACACTCCACAGTTTCCATGCACAATGCTTTACAAATTGCTTTTTGTAAATACTATGCTTGGACTGTGGCAGATATTAAAGCCTTGTGCTACACAAGTTATTCAATAAAGTCTACTACCACTACCACTATGCCCAATATATATTAGATGCAGTGAAACTTGTGGCCCATCTTAAAATTACTTAGATTTTGCCTTTGTGAGATCAAGACCGTTTGGTCATGTTTTTTCTTTTTTTTTTTTTTTTGGGGGGGGGGGGGTTCATAAGGATGAATTTTCTTGACAGGGCAGTTCTTGTGAAAATTGTGCATTCTGTAGGATCTATCAGTTGCATATTAAAGTAAATTTCATTTTGGGTGATGGGTCTGTTATTAGGTGAAGCATTAAACATTCACTTCTCCACAGTGATTGAATGAAATGCCTCCAATATTCACAATATAAAGGATTAAATTTTGACTTGATAATGGTGTCAATAATACCTCAAATATTTCAATTGTAAGATTTTGTTTATGTCAAACAAGAAAAGGCTCAAGAAAGCATATTTCTTAGATAAACATGATTGTTCAGGTTTCAAATTGATAATGTTAACCATGCAAATCCATACACATTTACAAATCAGTTTTATATGTTTTCTGAACAACAAATATCTAGGTACTGGAGATGTTCACAGCAGTTCTACAGCAGGCACATCGTGAGAACGAAGAGAAGTGGAAACGACTTTCCCGACAAGTTGTAGACATGATACTCCCGCTTCTGGCCAGGCAACAGGTATATAGTATTGATGTTTATAAAATAAAAAAATAAAATAAATAATAACAGTTTTAAATTGTTGATTAAATTGTTGAATAAATCCATGATAAGTTCTTTGTGTAGCTGTCTCAATACTGAATACTTTATTTTACACTGTACTCATATTTTTAATATCGTGTGTGGATTACAAACAGTGTGTAGAAAATGTCATTAAAGATATACTTGAGGCCAGCAAAAGAAGTTGAAGCAAGACCGAGTTTTTTGGTGTAATTACAAGACCATCGGGGTAATAATATATCAGTTAAGCGCTTAGGCACATTGTTGTATCAATGTATTGGGCGCTATATTAAAGCAAAATATTACTATTATTATCTTCCTTTGTAAGAATGACTTTACAGATATAACAAGAGAACCTTTAAACTGATCTGTGATTGGTTATCGTTGAAAATTCAAACTTTTCTTTCCTACTTGCTGTTCTTTGTTCTGTCAGATTAACCTGGACAGTCCAGCTGCTCTTGATGTCCTTCACCATCTCCTAGGGACTGTAGCTCCGAGCTCCCTCAGGCCTGTTGATATCCTTCTAAAGGCTCTTCTCTTAGTTCCTTATGATCAGGTAAGAAACCTTGAGAGACACTTTTGTACAGTTACGCCACAGGTTTTCAAACTAGATCACTACATTGCAACTCATACATGAGGGGACCTTGCAGTCATGATATCAGCACCAGCACCACCACCATCATCGTCATCATCATCATCATCATCATCATATTGGTCATCATCATCATTATCATCATATTGGTCATCATCATCATTATCATCATATTGGTCATCATCATTATCATCATCACAATCACCATCATCATCACCATCATTACAGCACTATCATCTCTTCACCATCATCATCATTATAGTATCATTATCACCATCATTATTTTCATGACATCATCATCATCATCATCATCATCATGATCATCATGATCATCATGATCATGATCATGATCATCATTATCATCACACCATAATCATCATCATCACAGTCATCATCGTCTTCATCGTTGTAGTTATCGTCGTCACATTATCATCATTACTGTCCTCATCACCACCGTCATCATAAGCATTATCCCCATCATTACCATTGTCGTTTATCATCATCATCATCACCATTTTTATAATCATCATGATCATCGTTATTAATGTTAATGTCCATTATTATCATCCATATACAGGTTAGCATTGTATCCATGCAGCGTTGGCTTGCCATGGCTCTAGCCCTGCTGGGTGTCTTGACCACACAGTCCAAGGAGGAAACCATCCTGTCTCGTCTCCAGGAGCTAGGCTTGACCTCTGACCTCTTCATCTGTGTCCTGGACCCCCAGCATACAAAGGAGGATGCTCTCAACGCCAACATGACCCCTCCTGAGGAGGTTCTAGCGAGGTCAGCTGAGTAGCAAGTTTAATCAAATCAATTCTATTCATCCAATTTTCAATTTGTATCAGTTCCAATAATTTATATCAACATAATGCAATCCTATAATCCCATTCATTTTTACTCCAATCATCAGGAATTTTTGGGGGCGGTAATTGTGTGGTGGTAAACGTTCTAGGGGTAGTTGTCTTAGGATCAAATGTCAAGAGGATAGGTTTCAAATGGGGTACACATACACATGTAGTTGTAATTGGGTGGACTGGCAAGGGGGGGGGGGTGTCGGTGGACTGAATTTTAGTATATTTGTTGGGGTAGTTTGGGAAGGAGATAATTGTAGGACGCTATTGCCTGGGGGTAGTTGCCCATGGGACATTTGTCCTTATATTTGGTGTGCACTTTATTTTTCAAAGGTCATTTTATATACTGTATGTTTGTCATGAGACCAGAGCTAAATATTGTGTATGTTAACATTATCAAGTAATATTGACTGATTTCTTTTATTTGCATTGTTCTTAGATTCTTGCTGCAAATTGTAGGGTTCACTGTCACCACTGTACAGAGCTTACGATTCTCCAAGTCTATAGATGTGTCAGGTGTTCAGTCACATGACTTCCTAGCACAGGAGCTGTCCAGGCTGCTTTTGTCTATGACACACATGTTCAAATCTGGTAAGATCTATTTCTCTCTCTCTCTCTCTCTCTCTTTGTCTGTTCGTATATCTGTCTCCCTCTCTCTCTGTCCATCTTTCTATGAAATCTCTGTGATGCTTTAGTTTGTTGGACAGTATCTTTCTCTCTGTTCCTCTGTGTGTTTGCCCCTCTCCCTCTATTATTTGTAATGGACTCTCTGCATTGTGCCACTCCAATGTACTTCTATAATACTTTCTGATTCTGTGTGAATCAGTTTCTTACATCATTCTTCTTTTCTCTCTCTCTCTCTCTCTAATTCTCTGTTTTTTCCCCTTTTATCTGTGACTGTATGACAGGCCGATTCATAATTCATGAAACAATTTTGTTTTGTTTTGTTGGTGAAACTATTTCTAAATGCTATTAATCTTGAATGTTGTCCACACTATTCTTTTATAATCAGGAGCTTTCAGAAAAGTTGGAGTAATGATGGCTAGTCTAATCTCCAGACCCCAGCAGTCAAAATGCTGGTTTGCTCTAGATCATCTCAACGAAGTATTCCATTCACTGATACAGACAGACCCAGTACTGGTGCTACAATGGTGTCAGGTAAGACATGTGGTATGATGATGGAGATGGTGACGATGGTGAGGAGGATGATGGTTATTATTTTGCTGATGATGTTGGTGATGGTTGTGTTGTGGTATATGAGGTGCTGCTGGTTGTGGTGGTTGATTGATCAATGATGATCTTCATGATAATATGCCTCCTTCAATACTGAAGATTCTTGCAGATGCCGTTTCCCCCTACTCTTATACGAATAGTGCAGTGGGTTCTTAACATGCAAGGGTGGTGACTCTTCTCTACACGGGGCCTCCATTGAACGTCCTATTCGAGGGATGGAGTGTTTTCCAATTAACATAGCCTGCGTCTATGAAACAAGGGGAGGGGCACGTTAACACACAACTCAGGCTTCAGTCATCCGCCTTGGTGGTATTTGAACCCGAGATCTTTGGTTTGACAGGCAGACGCTTTACCAACTCGCCTCCTGATGCTAATGATGATCACCTTGATGATGATAATGAGTATGGTGATGATGATGATATTGATAATTTATAGAATATGATGAAGATTTATCAATGATAATGATTGTGATGATTTTAACGATGACGGTGGTGATTCTGATGAGCACAAGACAATACTATTTCACCCTCTTGACTCCCTCCAGCTGCTCCTTCTGCTGAACTACGACTTCACCGATTGGTGGATGGGAATCCTGCACACGCCCTAGAAGCCCCCTCTCTTTTATTGATTATGATGAAGGAGAAGTAGAAGATGATTATGATGATAATATTGATGAGGATTGGATGATGATTGTGATGATTTTGATATTGATGGTGATGACTATGATAATGAAAATGATTGATTGATCAACTTGATGAAGATAATGATGATGATGAGTATAAGTATGGTGATGATGATGTTGCGTATGATGTTTGATGTTGATTTAATGCTTATGATGAAGATTTATCAATGAAAATGATGATGGTGATTCTGATGATCACTACACCATTTCAACTCCTTGAATCCCCCCAGCTGCTCCTTCTGCTGAACTACGACTCCACCGACTGGTGGATGCGGATCCTGCACACACCCAAGAAGCCCCCTCTCTCTAAGTCCATGTCTTCAGGGAGCCTGGATCACCTGGAGACAAACCTGGAGCCAGAGCTCTCCACGGCGGAGGAGGTGGTCAAGCAAGGAGCCCTCGTCCTTTTCTGTGATTATGTGGTGCGTAGAATCAGTGATCAAATCGTTTTGTCAAGCGTTCTTTAATATCAAAGAGTTTCATTTGTTCCAAAATTTATTCCAAGTTACCAATCGTGCATTGAATCACTTATGATTTATTGGATTGCATGTACTTATAATTGATTGTGAACATTTGATACACATTAATAGCTACTTAATATCAAATTAAATCAATTTCTGAAAGTACAGTTCAACTTACCTCTCCGCGAGATCAATTTCTGGAACTATACTTCCAGGAATTGATTTAATTTGCTATCAATTTCTATGATACTGGAATAAATCATAATCTGCATTATTACCAATGTTTAAAGAAAGGCAGCCTTTTATTGATATTATCTGCTATATTAAAGCTAAACTAAAGAAATATTGCAAAAAAAGGGGGAGAAGTATATATATATATATATATATGATAATCTTATGTTGCCTATTAAAGAATTTTTGTACTTATCAACTATTCAAACGATTCAGACCAATCACTTCCAAACTGCAACACTGACTGTAATTCTTACCCTATGCATACTTTGTTACATCCTATATAAATAAATGTTAGTGTCCAGACTCGTAATGTTTTATCACCGTGAGTTACTAAGAGAGAGGTTTTGATGTATATGTTTCTCTATTTGTAGTGTGAGAATGAGGCTGATGCTGAGCCTCTATCATGGCTTGTAGTCAACCATGTCAACGACATCGTGCAGCTCTCATATGAACTCCCTGTTCAAGATCTTGTAAGGTAAGCTCTCACTATAGTACACTCTTAAAGGGCAATCCAACCCTTGTAAATAAATTTATTTGTATCAAAGCACAACAATAACTACAAACTATATAGTAAATAAACAGTTAGGTAAAATTAACCATATAATCTCATATTCCCATATTTGCGATATCGTCATCAATGGTGGTCTGTCAGTGTACGACGGGTTCAGTGACCCAATCAGAATTCTCCATCAAGTGTCTCTACAAGTCTCTCCAAGTACCTCGGTCTTGAGCCATCCGTTTCAGCATTTCATACCCTGTTGCTCCACATTCTGTAATTAAATCATCTAGAAAGCCTTTACAAGATCTTCCCCTCATCTTCTTTCCATGTAGACAACCTTCTATGACTCTGATCATCAAGCCATTTGCAATTTAACATTGCAAATATTGTATTTAACTTTTAATTATGATGAACACCTCATCCTTACATAGTTTTTTGTAAGAATGAAGATGTGGTACATTGTGCATCCTGTACTACATTTCACTGCTCTTTGATGAATTTAAATCATCACTTGAATAATCTGTAGGTAATCACTTATAATCATTGCCTATCATCACTGTGCATTATCTGTGTGTATCATCATACATGAATCTTAATAGAAAACTTATAAATCTTCAACATATTTATATTTCCTCTAGTGCAATTCATCGCAACTCGGCCGCTAGCGGTCTCTTCCTTCGTGCAATAAACATTCGATTCAGCCACATGAACAACCCATGTCTTGTGAGACAGACCCTGAGGTTACTAGACGGCATTCACCTTACACAGTCAGGTCAGTGGTTCAAATCCCTCATCAAGCCTTCTGCAGTATCATATGTAGTGGTTCACATATGTTGTCAAAATGCTATAAATCACCATGTGACAATTATCTTGATAATGGTGGGGATTTGCGTAAGATAGTTTAATTCAATATTCTGTTCAATATAATTTATTTCATACAAATCACATGGATTAATATATACAGAGAAATGTGAAGGATCTAACACCCTGAAAAGCATGTAGCTTGAGATAATAACAATACTAATCTTGAGCTATATAGCACTTAATAAGAAATACCGTCTCTAAGCGCTTTAAAGATATTATTACCCCGGTCATCGGATTCAACCACGCACAATATGCACCAACTCCACTCCCTAGGGAGTATTCCTACCATATGGTCACCAGAAGGGCATATGACAATTACTAACACAAAGGCTTTCGCCATCCTGCCAGGTCCCTATCTTTCTCCTTGTTGTGGAGTTGCAAAGTATATGGGATTAGAGAGATTGGACGTGGGAGGGAAACTATTTAGAGCTCCATGATTCAACCAATGACCGCATGTCCCAACTATCTCTCTCAGTATGCTATGATCAACAATTAATGAATTTATTTAACCCTCTTTCCATACAGGTATGCTTCTCACCCTCCTGATTGAGAAGTTCCTCACCACCCACTGGCAGTCGGTTGGCCGCGTGGCCAGCGGGCTAGCATGCAGGAGAGTGGAGATGCTGCTTGCTGAGAGAGTAGATCAACACTCAAAGACACAGCTCACCCACGAAGAACTGACGAAGCTGGAAGGCTTCATAACCTCAAACAGGCTGGCTCAAAAGTAAGACGGGAAAGTCATAAGCAATGCTATTGACTTTTAATTGCCTAGAAACAAGTCGATTTTTAGTATAAATTACATCAACATGACAAATTTCTAAACTGACCCAAAAGTTTATACAGATCTTTCTCAAAGCTGACTGTAGTATTTAAAATATACGGTTGAAATTGTGATATACAAAATGAAACAACTTTTATCCATTGTCAGTGGGTTTTAAAGTCATCTTTAATCAAAAATTCAAATATTATCTCATGTTAATTCAGTTTTTTGTACATTATTAGATATGAGAATTTCCTTTTTTTTGCAACACAAAAAATCATGGTTGTAATTCAAGATAATTTTGTTATGTGACTCGCATTCAAAAGTTCATGAAAGTTCTCTTTCTTTCTCTGTCCTTCCTCTTTTTTGTTTGATTTTATATGCCTTATCTCACTCTCTCTCTCTTTCTATCTCTCTATCTCCCTCTCCTACTGTCTCCCTCTAGGAACCAGAGGTTGATGTCTCTACTGAGTAGAATAAAGCTTGACCTGACTGTGGAGGAGCCAGCTCAGTCTCCCCCTGACCTGCCCACCGACTTGCCAAAGAATCTTGCAGATGTGTTCCTGGATAAGGTATAAACTTACTTGTTTGCTAGTGACCTATGACCCTTCTCATCCATGCCCTGCTGCGGAAAAAAGAACAGCTTTGGTTTCTCAATTTTGTAGCAATGTACTGAATTTTAACATAAGTTTTTGTAATCAACTACTGACGATGTATAAGCTGCAGACTGAAAATCTTTTTGTCTGGAATACATGTTCCATACACATTGTGAGTGTGGCAAAAGTTGGCTGTAACATTCCATTGCTTGTTTGTTTTGTCAGTCTAAGCGGACGAAGAGTTGAGGTCAATTCCAAGCATTACAGAATGACATTTCCAGAAAATTTTGAATTTTGAATTAAGAATATTATAGACGTTTTTTTAAATAAAATTGTACAAATTAGTGAATCAGATATTATATGCTTGGATTAACTCATATGATCTACTTTCTCAGCTTTTGGTTTCCTAACAACCATTCATCAAATGTATGACATATTTCATTTTATATAGGTTTGTTTATGGAATGACATAAAAGGTATTTTTATTTTAATTTTGCAAAATTTTGATAAAATTCTTTTTCCCAAATTGAAAAGTTTCTGGAAATGTCATTCTGTGATGCTTGGATTTGACCTTATTTGATCTTAACCAAGAATCATGTTTTTGCCTTCAGGAGTGGTATGTATCTCACGTAGAGTCGTGTTGCTGTGGAAACGGTCCGGCATCATCCAGTAGAGACTGTGCTACCATGTTGTCCAGGCTTTCCTATGAAGACATCCTGGCCATCATGACGCGTGAGGTAAAAGAATACTCTCACTTTTAACCATGCTGGTGTATGGTGGGGTAGGAGGGGGGGGGGGGGGGGAAGGGGGACACAATTGTATCAACAGCGTGTAACTGAGAGTAATTGAAAGTGCTATGCTTGGGGGCTGAAAATATTAAAAAAGGAGTGAAAAATTTGTAATTATTTGCATTCATCTTACCCAACCTTTCCTAAATATAGGGGCATGTTTTCACAAATATCAAACTTGACAAAGTGAAGTACCTGACCTTTCATGAAAGGTCATGTAACCAGACCTGACACAAAGACAAAATGGAATAAATGAAGCCCCTAAGTGATAAAAAGATTATTTGCATTCGATTTGATTTAAGTTGCGTTTTTCACAAAATCCTGATTATAATCGTGCAAATTATCTATCCCATATTAATATAGGACTTTGACCACACACTAATTGGCGAGTGCATCAGCTTAGGGTTAGCTCGCACCCAGGTTGGAGCATCTGAGCACGGTCAAACCCCATCCAGTGCTCAGCCCCCCAACGCTACCCCATCCAGCACCGCACCATCATCAGGTGGTGAACATCCCTCGCAGGCCACGCCCCTCGACGCCCTCCTGAAGGCTTCCATGCCAACCCTCATCACGCACCTGAAGGCGTTTGCTGCCCTCGTCCCACGGCCGCATCAGATCCTGGAACTGGCATCGGAGAGTCAGGAGGCGAGGGATTACTATTCCAAGATGATGGAATGTTTCCAGGATACCTTGTGGTGTAATCAGCTGGATGATATCATCTGGGCGTTATCTCGATACTTTGTGGCTTGTAGGACGTTGAAGCTTGATTTGGATATGGAAGCTTCTGAAAGCATGATGTCTCTCACTATCTCAGCACTAGAGGTAGGACTCAAAGCTTTTCATCTTAAACAATCATATCCCAATTTAAAGCTGTTATTCTTGTAATTACTTTGTTTCAATTTTTGAGCTTCTTCAAAGATATTTCTATTAACTATAGGTAAGCATTTTATAATGTACAATCATAAATGAAATATGTATGAGCATGCATGGATGAACTGATTAGATTTTGGGTGGAAGAGGTGAAATATAAAAGGTTACAGGGTCATGGAAGTGTTCAAAAATACAAAATACCAGAAAATGATACCCCTTTATATAAAGCAACAAATCCAGGAAACTTATTCTGTATCTTTTCTTCTCTTTTGTACAGTTGGTGAGTTGGAGTATATCGGAGGGTAAACCGATATCCTCTGCCCAAGCTCTCCATTCCATAGAGTGTATCGCCGAAATACTCCAGCACCCTGAGCTCTCAATTGTGATTGGTGGTTCCGATCATGTGACTTGGTTCTGTTCAGCTATTGGCTGTATCCATCACATCATTCAAGCAGGTGGGTGGGCGTGGCATATCCAAAATAAGGTTTGAGTACTGAGCATAGATGACAAATAATAAACTTTCCAAGTCTTGAAGTTGAAATGTCCTGTGAAAAAGATTTCTGTTTAAGTGCCCTCGTGTTAAATAATACAATAAGAAACTACTAAAGTTTTGGACCAAACTTTGACTTGTGTGAGTGTGTAGTTCCGTATAGTTGTTTCTGATTTCAGTGCCTGTGGTTTTTATCAATATCCTAAGAGAATCATTCTATGGTTATCCATTTTACGAGCATTGAATTTCAATTTCAGTTTTTTAACTCACTACCCTTCAAGGTTCATTCAGATATGATGCGGCGAAACCGCTGCTTTTGAAAAATTATGGCGTGAAGTATAATCTGTTTTGCAGCGGTTTTATTCCGCCATATTTAAATGAGTCTGCAGAAAGAGGGAAGAGGCAGGGTTAATCACTTTTAATTTGTGTATTTTCTTTTCATTGACCTTGATCAGGGAAAGTGTGGAAGGAAGAACACGAGCCTTTCACTGTGCCAAAGCTTCAAGAAATGCCTGGCTCTGATTCAAGTAAGCAAAAAGATTTGTCATTGCTCTCTCAGCTTCTGTTCATGTCTCCATGTTTATGTGTATGTACATATATTAATAAACATGCATCTGTCTGTCCAAAATGCATCAGTAACATATACAGGTTTAATTCTAAAACTGTTATCATTTTTCTCATCACTTAAAAGAGTCATTATGGGCTTCTTAGTTTCATGTACATGTACATGTTTGCTTCTAGCTTCCATGGAGTATTGATTACACTCAAAATTATTTTTAAAAATCATGTTTCTACAGAGAGTACCTTAAAAGGATTGTGTAACTTTGTCTCTGATTCTGAAACAAAAGCAAAAAGGCGCTCGGCTTGTAAAAGTCATGGGATTCCTGACTGACCTAAAGGTTTATAGTTATCATTGCAGCATGAGCCAAATCCAGGATTTTTTTTCAAAATCTGAGGCAACGTTACCGAGTCACTTTAATGGTGATTTTACTCTCTCGGGCTTAGATGATGCCAACAAAATAATGATAATAAGAATACATGTAAACTTCATTTGAAGATGATTCAGTGAATGGATTAAAGTTTCAGAGATAATTCCAATTAAGACAATTTTAACAATCTTGTTTGTGACTTACTGTTGTAGGGTTTGACCACCAGCTCCAAGCCTGTCACCGGATATCTGAACTCGTTGAACTCTTGAACGAGAACCCGTCCCCTAAGGATGAACAAGCCTACCTCACCAAGACGTCTCAATTCCTCAGAGAACCCATCAGGAGGGTAATGGTTGGCCTCGCCCGCTTGCCCCTGGTTAATGGGTTCGCTAGGACCCCTCCCCTTCTGTGGAAGATGGGGTGGTGTCCTAGCCCCCTGGAGCGGGCTCAAACGAACCTGCCCCCTATCCCCCTGGAGTTCCTCAAAGAAAAGCCGGTGCTCAGGAGCTTTATACAGCGGGTCAACTCAATAGGTAAGTCATCACGTCACTTTTTATTGTATGAGCACTCCGGTCTGTATTTAAAGTTTTATTTGTCATGATGGCTTTTGGCTTCTTTATTTGTTGTTTTGTAATGTTGACTTTGTAATGGTGGTTAAAAGGTTTGGATATTTTTTGAATAATTCCACTACACAGGAATATTGAACTGTTTGCTGATATTCGAATACCACTAGTCAAACCTGTCTATTGAGGCTGCCCAAGGGAAACTGAGAAAGTGACAACTGTAGAAAGTTTGCCTTTCTTGACAGATTCCACAACACATGGAGTATTTCTTTCTTGAGGGGAATAACATAAATTTCCACTATAGACAGGTGACCTTTATAGAGAGGTGACCATTGTACAAAAACATTTTTCTGTTCGCGGGAGCTCTTAAGTATTTAGTGTAGTAAAAGTGCAATTTTCTCACAGTCATATTTAACTATATTATTGTTATTTTTCCAGAGCTAAATTGCTCAGTGCTCCCGTGTATATTCAAAGTGTTTCTGTGTTTATGCAATCTTGTCCCTTCTTGAATAATAATACCCTTTTCATCACCTACTCTTTCTTTAGGATGGACAAGTCGTTTCCAGTTTGAGGAGACATGGGCCTCACTGCTAGGCCTGTTGAATCCTGCTGAGAATCCGGAAGATGTCATGTTGGAGGTAGGCTTACTCTCACTACATGTACAGTTTGTTTATCCCTTTCAAGACTGGCATTCCTCCTTCTATGGTTTGGCTCAATAACTTTTGATTCAGAGCCTTAATAACATACCACAGCCTTGTCTCATAATCAGTACAGGTTAATTGCAACTTATATGTGATTGATATCAATTACAACTAAGTACATAAGAGATAGGAGACTGCAAAATTTGTTAATGATTGGAGATACCTGGCAAGAATTGAATCCTTGAAATGCTTAAGTGGATAATGATAATGTAGCACCAGGGGAGTGTTTCACAAAGACTAAGATCCACTTTAAGTTGAATTTAAATATGGCAGGCCATTCATGCCACTAGTTCCTCTAACCATTCCTGGCATTGCTTTATCAAGGAACGTACAAAACCGTGGTCACAAATCTACAGAATTTGCCTATTTGATTTGATAGATCATTATTGAAAGAAAAAAAGTTATCTAAACATCATAATTAAGAGACCAATTGTGAGAGCAACCAGTGGCATGAATAGCCTGCCATATTTAAGTCCAAATTAAAGTCGATTTTAGTCTTTGTGAAACACTCCCCTGGAGTGCAAATGTGCCAGGCACGAGCTCTAAACAAGAACCATTATTTATTATTTCCTTTTGTAGGAGGAGATGGAGCAGAGTGAGTTGATGTGTCTAGCCATACGAGGGATCTCTTCCCTGCTCCTGAACACCATCCTACGCCCCTCTGCCGGTAATCCCATCAACAGTCGACCCCTCTGTATCCCACGACACGACAGCTTGCCCTTCCTCGCCACCCAGAAGGGTCAGAGGTTAGGTCGGCTCAGGGTACTCGTGGAACGAGAGATGCAAGCTATGCAGTCAACAAGGTCAGTCACGTTTGTTTGCTTGTTGGTTAATCAGTTCGTTCTTCTGTCCAATCGTTCGTTCGTTAGGCCGTGTGTTTGCTCGTCATTTTTATCAATTCTTAGAGCATATCAATCTTTCTAAATATCACATAATCATTGTATGCTATTGTAGCATGTTTAGTTGGAGAAAATTGCAGATTTTGTACAGGAACTTTTCTTAGTTTAACATTTGACACTGTTGAACAAATAAGGACCATCAATGTAAAAGACTAAAAGTGTGTGTGTGTGTGTGTGTAATTGGGTTTTTACAGACGTGTATCAATCAGAAATGATTATTTACGTTTGTAGGCCAAGACAGAGAGCTGACCAAGTAAATGTGCAGCTAGACCAACTCACATCTTAAAAGAAAACTTTATTCTCATTTTATAGTACGGTAATGTTTATAAATGAAATTTGGTGTCATTAGAAAGAATGATACATTTTCTACAACTTTATTACACAACATTTTGTAATATGGTAACATGGTTAAAGAAGTGCAGGCATTTAAAAGTAAGCATCAAATGTTCAAGTTTTGGTAGTATCTCAAAACATGCTTGGTACTGTAAGACTTAATGTCGTTGACTTTGGTATTAAACACAGGTCTCAAAAGACTTTGGTACCTGCTACGAGTACAGCCATGGAAGGACCGTTTGATGAGATGCTGACAGCTAACATGGAAACGGAGGGTACTCAGGACCAGTTCACCTTGGGACAGGTCAGGCACTTGGTGGAAACACTGATACCATTTTAGTTATGTAACTAAATGTATGCATATGCCTTTGTGAAGCACCTTGATATAAATTCTTTCATTCACCTGTTTAGAATAATTGTACTTCAATAGTCAAAATACGAATTGCATACATTGATTCGTATCGAAGCCTTTAAGTATAAATTTGGTTACATTACGAAAATGGCCTATCGTGGAGATGGTGATTTAATAAGCCAATTTGTAGATATTGTGTGCATGGGTAGATAAAGATCATTTGTAAAATAATTGTAAAACCCACCTAGGCGAATACGGGATATGTGCTCATGAAAGCTATTTAATCATTATTAATTTATGTACCAACGGTACATTCTATGGAACACAGGTAAAAGTGTTCTTCTCGAGAGGGAAAACAAATGGTATTCCTTAAGCTCATCCATGACTTTGGCAGTAATTAATTCAAAATGCACAAAGTGGGATTACTCTATATGTAAAAGATCTTTAGATATTTGTGGTCATTTGTACTGAAGAACAAGAAAATGACACTTGTGAGTTACGGGTAATTCAACAACAAAAATCTTTGTCGTTGTTAAAATGACCAATTACAATGAACTTGCACAGAACTAATATTTCAATGTACATATACATGTTTCATGCAAAAAAAAAGAAAAAGGAAAAGAAAAGGGAAACGATAGAACAGAATACCATTGTGATTCTTGTTTTCCACCTCCATTGTAGATCTCTGTCCATGGCATCTGGGCCATCAACAACATGATGCTACCACTCACTGAAGACCCGAACCAGAACCGGTCAGAAGCCAGCATCATCCCCCTGGGTCGTACGGCCATCCCCGCTGCCCTCAGCAGGGTTCCGTCCAATCTCGATGTCCACTCCTGTCTGGTGTTACTCCTTGAGGTGTATGGTCAGTGGCTTGCCCCTGGCTCGGCCCGCCGGACATCGCTCATGCTCCTCTGTGAGACAATCAAGTCGGTAAGAACTTCTTCATTTACATTTCTTTCTTTATTTGGGAGGGGGGGGGGGGAATGTTATGATATGAGAAAATGCTTTTCAATGGCAAATGAAGGAGAGAGTTGGAAATGATAATTATACCATTGAAGTTAGGAAAGATAATAAGCTAATAAATAGATAATTTTGAATGCAATGAACTGTATGACATTGAAATTTCTAAAATTGACTAATATGACATGACATTCTGCATCCATTTCCCTTCAATCAGGTACTGCTAATTTCTGATGTCTTCACTGAGCGATCTCAGTTTGAATGGATGTATGAGACTCTGCTGGAGCTTAACAAGATTCATCCTGTGGAAGACGAGTTAGTCACGCAGTATGTGATTCCAGGCATCTGTAAAGCAGCTTCCGTTTTAGGAATGGTAGGTCATCACCTCTTTATAAATGTATTTTGTGGGGGTAGATATGGGGTAGATTGTACTGACAGGCGGGCCCAAGACAAGTACAGTCAAACCTGCTTTAGCGACCACCTGTATAGAAAGACCACATTTTTTTCCCCCCTGTAAATGGTTTCTCATTGAAACATGTACTAAAGGAACCTGTAGATTAGGACAACCCACCGTCTCCCTTGGGTATTCTTTATAGCCAGGTTTCACTGTACAGGCAACACTGTCTTAGTGGCCACCTCTCATTAAAGGCCATCTGTTCTTAGTGGTCATTTTTTTGTCTCCCTCAAGAAAGAAATGTGTTGTAGAACGTGTCTTGAATAACCACCTGTCTACAGTTACCAATTTGTCCCTGTTTCTCTTGGGTAGCCTCAATGACTACACACGTAGATGCAAGTTAAATAAACAACTTTGTAGAGATGTCATGGTCTAGTGGTTACGTCGTTGGACTGTTGATCATATGGTTTGCGGTTCGAGTCCTTCTGCGGCACTAATGTCCTTCAGCAAGTTATTAATCTGCATTTGCCACTGTCTACTTAGGTGTTAAATGGGTACCGGTTGGAAGGAATTCCTTGAAGGCTGTGAGCATCGAAAGCGGTAGCTTAGCAGAGACAGAGCCTGGGTAATATTAGAGCACCTTTAGAACCTTGGGTGGTGGATACGTACACTATAAAAATATCTTATACTATTATTATTATTCATTATTACTATCAACTCATCCCATGCTTTTGTTACAGGACAAGGATGTCTCTGAGAAGGTCAGCAAGCTACTTGAGGTCACGTTGCGGAGCACACATCTTCCGAGCCGAGTGGGGGCGCTCTACGGGGTGCTTTACATTCTAGAGTCTGATGCTGTAGAGGATATTCAAGTCTTTGTTCCTATGGTTACTGATTACATCGCTACGAACATCAAGGCCATCTCAAAGTAAGTGAAGGCTTATGAATGACAAGTTTCAATAGGAAAGTACATTAATATCATATAATTAAGGGAAGAATGGTACTACCAGAAGCGTATGGATAATATAGAAATTGAAGACCCCAATTTATTTTTCTTTCTTTTATTTAATAGAGACTCTGAGAAAGTACACACATAACCCATTGACAAATGAATTATTCTATTCACAGGAGCTACCTGCTTTCGTAGCTAATGGGCTTCATTATATGTAGGGCTGAAGAAAAAAAGAAGAAAATATATGTATATTTATCAAATTCTATGTTTAATTCTCAAATAATTTGCTTGGATTGGAATAAAAGAAGCTATTGCACATGTGTACAAGGGGACTCTTGTTTTGAAAAACCTTTTCCGTTTGCTAATTTGCTTCCACAGAAATTATGTTTATTAATTTATGTTTTGGGAAAGCATGGATATGTTTCAAATGCACGACTCAAGCCTCGGGACCACCTCTCACTGTTGCGACTTGACTTACTTGTATGTAAAAAGTTTCTGACTCTTTTACTTGCCGTGGAATGTAACCATGGACTTCCACATTGTTTGGAGTACCGTAGTATAGGATACACATATACATGACGGTGGCAAACCTATGTTTGTTCCATCGGTTGACGTAATTTGATTAAGTGTGGGAACTACTCGTTTTAATTTATTTTATTATGTTGTTGATTTTGCAGTAGCAGTAGTTCAGCTTGTCAGAAGCATGTCTTGGTGATGCTATCAGTAGGGTTTTACATCATGGAATACTACTCTGATCTTACTGCAGGATCAGACTTCACCAAGGTCATTCTCCAGGTTAGATACAGTGTACAGATATACATGTAATGTAGGAAGTGATTAAATATGGTGGTGGTGGTGATGATTGGTGGTGATGAGGATGCTTGGTGATGCTGTCAGTAGGGTTCTACATCATGGAGTACTACTCTGATCTCACTGCAGGATCAGACTTCACCAAAGTCATTCTCCAGGTTAGATACAGTGTACAGATATAATGTAATGTTGGAAGTGATCAGATATGGTAGTGGTGGTGATGATTGGTGGTGGTGGTGGAGGTGATTGGTGGTGATGATGAGGATGCTTGGTGATACTCTCAGTAGGGTTTTACATCATGGAGTACTACTCTGATCTTACTGCAGGATCAGACTTTACCAAAGTCATTCTCCAGGTAAGATACAGTGTACAGATATGTATTTGAGCTTCTTGGCAGGATGTTGGTGTGATGGTGGAAGTGATAAAGTATGGTGGTGGTGGTGATGGTATTGATGGTACTGGTGATAATGACTAGTGGTGATGATTGTGGTGATAGTAGGGATGATTTTGATGATTGCTGTTACAAATTGATGGCAGTAATGTTGGCAATGATGGTGGTGGTGGTGGTGGTGGTGGTGGTGGTGGTGGTGGTGGTGGTGGTGGTGGTGGTGGTGATGATGATGATGATGTATATGATGATATGGTTGATGGTGATGATGATGGTGATGATGTTGATGGTGGTCGGGATGACATGTATCTAGATAAATTGTTTTTGCAGAGTACTTATCTTACAGTTTTTTTGTATTCATGATATTCTTGGGATTGATACAAGTAGTTTTTTTGTGATGATGATGTCAATGAAATCAATGATCATAAAACGATAATGATCATGATGATGATGTTAAGTTTTAAGTTGAAGATCAACAATAAATAATACAAAATGCTGTATGTAAATATTGTGTCCAGTTTTTTATCATTTAAAGTGATAATAAAAGATATGCATCAGATAACTAACTACATTATGGCTGATTTAATAAAATCCCTCTTGTGTTCTCATTTTCAGCAATGTGTAACGATGGTGCTTATGAGTGATGAATCTACATCCTGGTTGGTTTACCATGCGATTATGGTCGGCTTTGAGAGACTCCTGGTGGCACATGCACTGGGCTCTCAGGAGAGAGATATGCTCAAGAAGCTCAGCGTTGACAGGTGAGAAATCTTCAGATAAGGTGATAGTCATGAGGATGAGGGTGATGATGGTGATGGTGATGGAGATAATGATGGTGATGGTGATAATGATGATGAGGAGGAGGAGGAGGAGGAGGGAGAGGGAGAGAGAGGGGGTGACGGCGGCGATGATGGTGGTGGTGGTGATGATGGTGATGATGATGACGTCGATGATGATGATGACAAGGAAGATGATGAGAATGGGCTTAAGAATTTAAAACTAGACAAAAAGTAAGAAAAGCTTTTTGGTTTTTGAGGTCAAGTGTTAAAGGTCACAGGTTTATGGATTAATGAATGTACACAAGAGGCATATTAGATGTGCAGTCTCATTCATGTTGCTATTTTTTACATCTTTTCTAAAGGACATACATTTGTATTATCTTATAAATCAGAATATATACTAGATATTTTACATCTGGCTCTTCCAGGTTGTGTCTGCCCTCCCCCATGCATGCCCTGTCAGCATTAGGCCTGCTACTGACAAGCATGTACACTGCTGAAGATGGCAGAGGGGTTTCGTCAGATGATGATGACATCCACCAACAGATGCAACCCCAGGACCCGGAAGAAATACTACTTGCCATGGAGAGAGTCTCCATCATGTTTGATAGGTTAGTCTTTCAATATATGAAGAGCTTAATTCCAAAAGGAGCTAAATCCACTTTTGATGAAAATTGAGTTATTGATATCAGAACATTGTACACTAAGTACCCGTCTTTTAACAAAATTATTTACATAAATTTTGGGAGCAATTATGAAAAAATGCACCTTCTAATATCACTTTTCAATAGACGCCTGTACAAAATGTGGTACATTACGAAAATTCCTCGCTAGAGAGATTCCGACTTTAGTGTCCCTAACTCGGATATTGTCTCATAGAGTTTGAAAACGAGCCTGGAGAAGGACCTCCCGTTCTTATCACTTTCCTAATCCATTGCCAATAACGCGCTGATAAGACCCGTCAACAGAGTCTGGCTGAAGAGAAAATGTGAAGAAAAAAAATCCCAAAGTTACACAAATCTGTGTTTTTTTCTCCCGAAATTTGTTCTTAGGGATTCATTTGCCCCAAAAAACTTCAAAGCACAAAAATCGGGCAAGTAATACCGGAGATATGATATTGATACTCCCGAACAAATTTCAGATTTGACTCACTTCAGGAATCTTTTTCCCCCTTCTTCTCGTGGAGAGAGCTGTCAATCACGTTTCGACCGGCTGTTAAGCAGCTGCATCAGATTAAGCCCTCTTAAGACTGACCAGCTTGTATGACTGCGCATATTAGTGCACATGTTTTTTTGATTTCATGTTTTATTTTGAATTTGATTTTATTACCAGAAATTTGAAAATGAACTGCTACCTCAAATGCAATTTTGAACGGGAGAAAATGAACCAGCAAAAGCGGAGATAAATATGAGATCGTGCGCTCAGCCCACGCTGCTCAGCCTACGCTTGAGCGCAGATTGTCGCATAGACATACGGGTCTTTTCCGAGTTTCGTCCAATTTTCTAGCGAGGCACTACGTGTACGTTCTTCCCTCGCTGTAGCACGTACGGTCTCGTTAGAAAACTGTATGCGTAAGGGCACTGCGTGCGCTGGCATCAGAATCAAACTCGGAGAAGGTTGTGTGACAATTTCTGAGCTGCGTGTCTGAGCGATGTTTATGTTATTGTTGTTGAATGAGAGTAGTCTAGTTACTAGACCTTCGCTGTGTTCTCCTCATTGCTTTTGTTTTAATAAACCGACCTAAGCAGTATTCTTTCTGTCTTAAATTCATTATGTTATGTTATAACCTTTTATCACCTTCTCTAATGTTATTGTTTGTTTTTATTATTCCATTATTTCCTTTTCCTATCTTTACTTACGCTATTCTTTGTTTCTTCCTTCTATCACCTTCTTTTTTCTGTCTTTCCTTATGTTAATCTTTGTTTTTCCATCTTTCATCCTTTGTTCTATCTTTCCATTATGTATTCTTAATCATTTTCTATTTTTGTCTTAATTACTTAATGTTATTCTTTGTTCTATCATCTCTTATGTTATTGTTTGTTGTTATCATTTTATTATTTCCTCTTCCTCTCTTTCCTTTACGCTATCCTGTGTTTCTTCCTTCTACCACCTTCTCTTATGTTGTTCTTTGTCTTCATCATTTTCTCATTTTCTTTTTCTGTCTTTCCTTAAGTAATTATTAATTGTTTCTTCCTAAAATCACCTTCTCTTATTTTATTTTTTGGTCCGAAGCGCGGAAGCTTTGAAGTTTCATTACATTAGTTATAGTGGAAGAAAACGAATCGTCGTACCGTTTCGACTCTTCATCCTTGTCTTAAATAAGACCCCCCCCCCCTCCCGCGCTTTTTTACGTTTCATTAAATCATTAGACAAAGAAGGCGATTCGTTGTACCGTTCTCGACTCTAAATCTTTGTCTTAAATAAGACCTCCCCCTCCCGCGCTTTTAACGCTTCATTTAATTATTCGAGAAAGAAGGCGATTCGTTGTACCGTTCTCGACTCTAAATCCTTGTCTTAAATATTACCCCCCCCCCCCTCCCGCCCTTTGCGCGGAAGCTTCAACACTTCATGTTCGTCGTACCGTTCTCGACTCTAAATCCTTGTCTTAAATAAGACCCCCCCCCCCTTCTCCCGCGCTTTTAACGCTTCATTTTGAGAAAGAAGACGATTCTTTGTACCGTTCTCGACTCTACCAGGGCAAAGCGCAAAAGCTTTGACGTTTTATCAATAATTGAGAAAGACGATTCGTTGTATCGTTCTCTATTTTTTTACCGTTTTGGGGGGCTAGGGGGGTGGCCGGTGGATCCGTGCCTCCCCCCCACCCCCCCCCCCCACTCACGCGCAAAGCGCTGAAGCTTTGACGCTTCATTAAATTATTAGAGAAAGAAGACGATTCGTTGTACCGTTCTCGAAACTTAATTCTTGTCTTAATTACACCCCCTCCCACTCTCGCACAGAGCGTGGAAATTGAATTGGTTTCGCTTCTCTCTATTTATAATTCTCAAGCGCTGATGATATTGGCATTCATTTTCTTCATTCATTTTCTTTACTTTCCGTTGGCTTACTTTTTGTAATAAAGCCGGTAACAGCGATATTTTAATTGTTTTTGCTTCGCTCTCTCCTGCGATCCGTCTCTCTTTATATTGCTCAAGCGCTCAATTGTTATATTGACATTCATTTCTTTCTTTCCGTTGCTTACTTTTTGTCATGATAGACGGTAGTAACATCAGCCAAATTGAATTGTTTTCGCTTCTCTCGATCTCCCGCGATCTGTCTCTCTTCATAATTCTCAAGCGATGGTGATATAGGAATTCTTTTTTTCATTCATTTCTTTCTTTCCGTTGGCTTACTTATTTCATAATAGACGGTAACATCAGCTATTGAATTTTTTCGCTTCTCTCGATCTCCCGCGATCTGTCTCTCTTTAAAATTCTCAAGCGCTGATGATATTGGTATTCATTTTCTTCATTCATTTTCTTTCTTTCCGTTGCTTACTTTTTGTCATGATAGACGGTAGTAACATCAGCCAAATTGAATTGTTTTCGCTTCTCTCGATCTCCCGCGATCTGTCTCTCTTTAAAATTCTCAAGCGCTGATGATATTGGCATTCATTTTCTTCATTCATTTTCTTTACTTTCCGTTTGCTTACTTTTTGTCATGATAGACGGTAGTAACATCAGCCAAATTGAATTGTTTTCGCTTCTCTCGATCTCCCGCGATCTGTCTCTCTTTAAAATTCTCAAGCGCTGATGATATTGGCATTCATTTTCTTCATTCATTTTCTTTACTTTCCGTTTGCTTACTTTTTGTCATGATAGACGGTAGTAACATCAGCCAAATTGAATTGTTTTCGCTTCTCTCGATCTCCCGCAATCTGTCTCTCTTCATAATTCTCAAGCGATGGTGATCTAGGAATTCATTTTTTCATTCATTTCTTTCTTTCCGTTGGCTTACTTATTTCATGATAGACGGTAACATCAGCTATTGAATTTTTTCGCTTCTCTCGATCTCCCGCGATCTTTCTCTCTTTAAAATTCTCAAGCGCTGATGATATTGGCATTCATTTTCTTCATTCATTTTCTTTACTTTCCGTTGGCTTACTTTTTGTAATAAAGCCGGTAACATCAGCGATATTTTAATTGTTTTCGCTTTGCTCTCCCCCGAGATCCGTCTCTCTTTATATTGCTCAAGCGCTTAATTGTTATATTGACAAGTTCATTTTTGTTCATTCATTTCTTTCTTTCCGTTGCTTACTTTTTGTCATGATAGATGGACCAGCCAAATTGAATTGTTTTCGCTTCTCTCGATCTCCTGCAATCTGTCTCTCTTCATAATTCTCAAGCGATGGTGATATTGGAATTCATTTTCTTCATTCATTTCTTTCTTTCCGTTGGCTTACCTTTTGTCATGAAGCCGGTAACATCAGCGACATTGAATTGTTTTCGTTTCTCTCTCTCCAGCGATCTGCGTTCATTTTCTTCATTCATTTCTTTCTTTCTGTTGGCGTACTATTTGTCATATAAAATCCGGTAACATTAGCTAAATTGAATTGTTTTCGCTTCTCGATCTCCTGAGACATGTCTCTCTTTATATTTCTCAAGCGCTGGTGTTGTAGGCATTCATTTCCTTCATTCATTTTTTTTTTTCCGTTGGCATAATTTGTGTAATATTAAAAAGCCGGTAACAGCGATATTGAAATGTTTTTGCTTCTATCTCTCCCGCAATCTGTCTCAAGCGCCGGTGATATTGACGTTTATTTCCTTCATTCATTTCTTTCTTTCGGAATGCAGCGTCTCGTAAATATGCTAGTAACACTTATTGTTCGACTTGAGTTCCAAAGTTGCCAGTTGCTGGTACCACAATACATCTAATTTACTTCTCGCAGGTCCATGCTGAAACCAATAATTATTGTCTGAATTCTAGACTAACCCAACGCTCCAGGCTCACCTAAATGTACGCAAGCTCTGTTGATACAGGGATTAAGTCAGAGGGATAAGTTCACCAGCAGATAAGGAAGGGTCTTGTTTACTTAATGATAATGACTATATCAAAGTGCTTAGGACCAAACTAAAGTCTATGAGACAATTCACTGAATTTTCTCTAACGGAGAGTTTTCGTCATGAAACAATTTCTTTTTTCTCTGAAGTTACAAAAATATATTTAGCTCCTTTTGGAACTTAAACTCTTGATATACTGATATTTAAAAAGAGGACTAGTATCGCAGTGCTGTTTTTAAGAATGTCTCGCAAGGATCAAACCTATTGTTGTAGGTGACAAGGAGAAGCATTGATTTGTGCATAGTTTCTTGATTTTCTTAAATTTTCGATTATGAGTCAAGTACATGGAAATATTAAGTCTTATGATCTTATCTAGTAAAAGTAGAGCAAAAGATATGCCATTATCCACACTGCCCCCCCCCCACCCACCCGAAAGCCCAACCAAAAGGGAATTATTTTTGGTTTAGTCATGTATTTGGAGGAATAACTGTTTCACACTTTCAGTGGATGTCTATGACTGAAAACAAAGACATGTATATAACAACGATGATGATAATAATGATGTACATAAGATTTAACCAAAAAAGTTATGAAGGTATGTGACAAACAACAGCTGTTTGAAAATGTTGGTGGTGAATACTTAAGCATACTAGGTACATGTATCATCATGATTGAAGTTTTGGTCAATAAACATTCAAACTTCCAATTACAGGATACGGAAGGGATACCCATCAGAAGCGAAGGCCGTTGCGTTCATCCTCCCTCCATTCCTGAATGACTTCTTCCCACCTCAGGACATCATGAATAAGGTGATAGGAGAGTTCTTATCCAATCAGCAACCCCATCCCCAGCTCATGGCAACAGTCGTCTTCAAGGTAGGTCAAGCTGGATTCTTATCTTGATAATAATAATATACCATACTTACATAGCGCATATCACAATATTTCTCTATATAAACGCTGTAAGAAAGAGTAAGAAGGAAAGGTAGATAGAGTAACATAAGAAGAGTGAGGTATGCTCAACATACTTCCTCTCGTTAACATTGGAAAGTATTTTTGAAATGAAATGTTTTAATACATGTCTTAAAGTTGACAACTGTATTACAATTTTTAAAGATTTTCCTGTAGTTTATCCTTCTCATTCATTAGTGAAATGAAAATTGTTGCAGCAATTTATGTAGCATCTTTTCTACTAGATGGAAAAGAAAACAAATATCTTTTACTTGACAATTATCTGCAACTAAACAGAAATCATGCCATTAAGAGATCAGTTTCTCTCATATTCATTTCATGACTGGATTCATGTCATGTATTCAGATTGTTACAGAATTACAATGATTTGTACAGAGTAAAGGTGACACTTTTTGTCCAATAAATCAGGGCATTTGGTAAAAGTTAGAGTTTACCATTTGCCTGAAAAATTAATCTGTGCACAGCTAGAATGAATAAAATCAAACTAAATACACTCAACCTGGCGCTCTACAGGTTAACAGTAAAGGGATATGAAGAAATAGAGAATCACATAATGCCTCCTGCAGTCTGCCTTGGCTTTCGTATTCACCCTATGCTATGCATGCATATATGAATGCCTCGACTAGTCTACTCAATAAGTCTTTTTTATGTTTACTGAAAGTATATTTTAACTGCAATATCTCTTTGTGTAGGTGTATATTAGAAGCTTATATTTTGAATACAGTGTAGCAAGATGAAACCTATTACATCATGAGCAAAACATGTTTTGGTGATTGGTATGCTCGAAAACCAGGTTTAACTTGATCTTCCTTTAAGAACACGAGCCAAAGTGACTATTCCCTGTGAGGTAATTCATCAACAATTACAATCTAACAATTAATGATCTCTCTTTCTTCTTGTTGCAGGTCTTTGGTAACCTCCACCGGAATGGCCAGACCCAGTCCGTCCGTGACTGGGTGATGCTATCGCTCTCCAACTTCACACAGCGTACACCGGTTGCCATGGCAATCTGGAGTCTGACATGCTTCTTCATCAGTGCCTCCACAAACAAATGGCTCAGGGCCTTGTATCCTTTCAACAAATGATAAGATTTTGGGGTAAAAGGTCAAATGTCAAAGGTCAGTAAGTCAATATACATGAAATTAAGGTTCTTTTAAAAACCTAGACAGCCAAATCAATGACTGTTTGAAGCAATTTTAGCCCTGAACTTATGGATCACTGTAGGGAGACGAGTGCTCACATTTTGGAAATTGTCAGGTCAAAGGTTAAAGGTTGTAAACATCAATTGACCTTTAACTACAGGCCTTTTTCTCATCGTAATATTCCAAGAATATTCAAAGTCATGAAGCATGCTCTTGTCATTGTAAATGCCTATTTTGTTCTCAGAGAGGTACAATGATAGGTGAAGTAGGTGAATTTTTTTTATTGCTACTGTATCATCTTTCACAATAACAATGGTATTTTGACAATGCATAATTTACAAAACGTAGAGACATTAGACAGTATATCATTGCACATCAGCATTGCTTGAACAAGAACATAATCATGCATTGAGAGGTGCTGATACTGAAGGGCTCTCTAACATAGGTCGATATGCTTGCAGTCCAGTTGTTGTCATAGAGTCTATATTTATATTCCTTGACCTTCAACCTATGATCAGACTGAGTCATGTCATTAATAGGATGGGCAAGTTGGAGCCTGTGGATCGCAAGTACTTTATCCTTGCAGCCAAGGATTTCTACAATACTCAGGTGAGATATGCTTTGCTTTGATCTGCTTTAAAGACATGTATTCAGCAGTCTCCTTGTACATTGCTTCATAATTCACTTACATCGGACTTCGTTTAATTAACAATGTGTTTACACATCTAGATCTTTAGTGGCAAGTGGCCTAGTGGAAAATGATTCAAGCTGCATGTGACTCTCAAAAATGTTCTTCTGGGGGAGATTTATGATGATGGGCTTTACTTACTGATTATTTCATTTTAAGTTTGTGCATTATGTAAGAGGGTCCCTATTGCGGAAGAGAATGTAAAGCAATCTTGATAATAATTCTAATTCTCCTCCCTTGCGATAAATTACATGCAGTATAGATAAGAGAAAGATCGAAAAACAAAATTATAAAAAGAGTGCAGTATTCAGAATATTGTAATTAGTTTTATGAATACACCCCATGTACAGGTCCATTGTTGCATGTCTTTCAAACTGCATTAAAGTGTAATACCACTGATAAATGCTGTCCAATCAATGAATCTAGACATGTATAGAAATAGAGAAAAGAAGAACATTATTAAAACAATCAAACCTTTTTTAGTCACCACTTCATGTGAACATATTTAAATTCTCTCTTCAGGTAATCGATGAAGCAAGTCGGAGAGCCTTCACCGCTACATTCCAAGCAGTCAGCACAACGGATGCTGCGTATGCACTACTTGCCTAGATATCACTTCAGACTTTACCTACTGGTAGCTGAAAGTTCTAAAGAGGAATGGTCCTGTTTAAATAGGATATCAATTACTGGTAGTATTGGATATCACTTCAGACTGAACCAGAACCTTCCCTAGCTGATATGTCTAGAGAGGAACGGTCCTGTTTAAACAGGATATCAATTACTGGTAGTATTGGATCTCAACCTTACCTAGCCGATAGGTCTGGAGAGGAACAGTCCTGTTTAAACAGGATGTAAATCTCACTTCAGACTTTACCGGTACCTTCCCTGGCTGATAGTTCTGGAAAGGGACGGTCCTGTTTAATAAAGAGGATAGCAATTATCGGTAGTATTGGACTAAAATGTTCTAGTGAAACTAGAAATATTTGTGGAGTGCCAGGAATTTCAAGTCTGACACACATGAGTGCTATTATTATTATTTCTATAAGACAGGTATCCCCTGAACCTGTACTATTCACAATGTAAACAATGAAGAGTTTTTGTGATACAAATTTCGAATATACTTTATGTTCAAATGATGATGCTAGTATGAAAAGTGTCTGTATGTGGAAGAATAAGATTGAATGAATATATACACAGGTAGTAGTAGAATAAGAAGCAGAGTGAAATGGAGTTACTGTATTTATTCACATTATTTCTATGTTTTGGGTACTTTGGTTTAAATATATACACTTATCTCATCAGGAGCAACATATCATTTTATCAAAAGAAAGCTATGATTATCATTCCCTTTGTGTATATGAGTTTTTGCAATTCAGATATCTATCTCTATTATTATATTCAAATTGCTATTAGAAAGGTTCACAGTATATATGTCTTTCACAATAATGGTTTGTTTTATCTATATATATATGTTGATTTGTTGTGCGTATGTAGATTCTGGTATGGTTTTATATTGTCAAGTTTCACTCTCAATCAAATTAAATAAGATTGTGGATGAATAAAAGATGGTATGGTTTTACGTCCATGTATGGTTCCTTCAGAAATATCCTCTGCTATTACTATGTATGAAACATCAACTCTTTCGATATATATCTTAAAGTGATTGCAAAGTGGTCTACAGTTAAGGTTTCCTACAGTGAGTAACTGGCTACAGTACACGTAACCTGAAGGTGCTATAGGGTTATTTAAATATGAAACCGCTTTCTACTTACGGTACTTGTTTCGATAATTTGATCAAATGTAAAGGGACAATAATAAGTATAGATTCCTGTCCTACTGTTTTAAGATGAACTTTATAGGTGTATGTCACAACTAAGATATTCACCATTTGAATTTTGTGTATTGTCCTGTCTTTCGTGAATACACAGATAAAACCATTATGAATGAATGAATGAATTACAAATATTGTGCTTCACAGGCTTTGCTGGTATGTATGCAGTAATTATTTAAGAATTACGATTGTGGTATACACGATAAAGTTGCAGTATTGTGGAATATATTTTAGAATTGGTATTGTTTTGATTAATACAGCTTAGAAGGTACTCAAAATAACAATGTACATGAAACATCAATGAGTTGAGTTGAATCAAGTATATTTTGTGTGATTTTTGAGCTATTTTATCGAGAGATGAAATGTCTGTCATAATAAATTATATATCCAATTGCCATTATTAAGACATGTACATGACTTTGGTGTAATCGTTGAAGTAAAAGAGAATCATTAAAAATCATAGATCTTAAAAGGCCCATTCATGTATTTCCAATTGAATGTTAGCTATAAGTCTGCTCAGAATTTTGTAAGATATGCACTGTTTTAAAGCCATTCTGTACTAGACGCACCACTGCAAAGTCCCCTCTAGCGCCATCTCAGGTCAGATGTAACATACTATGGTCCCGTAACTGCTGCTTCCTTAGCTGCGCTGCTGGTTCCTGGATTTAATCCTCTTTCTACAAAGTGGAAATTAGGTATTGTGTTACTCACTGTTGGCAAGTTGACCAAGAGATGGCGCTGTGCAATAAACTGTACGCTAGGGCAGAACGTTCTTCAGTTCAGTATTGCTTTAATATGAATGTTTTTTGTAACAAGGATTGAGTGAAAAAAGTGAAAAGAAAATGGGAGGAGGGGTATACATAACTTCAACCTCCTTTAACATGTACACTGTACCTGCTTCATTTATGCCCCATCCCAGATATTTATTGTATTTATAAGTTTCATTAATTGGATGGAGTGAAAGACCTCCCCCCTTCCCCTCCCCCTCCCCCTTCCCCTTCCCCACATACTCTTACCTTACCATCATTATTGATATAATATTGACCATCATAGTGCTACATGTAGCATCACATAAGATGCGTTGTGTGTGCTGCAAGTAGCCGAGTACTATTATGCTATTAAAGGCAATACACAAAGAGTATTATACATGTATGAACAAATGTATTTCCATTGCAGTAAGAAAATTATTTAGAACATTTTATGGTCTCATGTTTTAGACAATTCAGAGCTATAACTTTATTACTTTCTCAATTTATGTTGCATAAGTTGTATGGTTTTACAAAATATACATATACATGCTTTTATACATTATCTTTTCGAAACGCACGGGCACTGTGTGATTTGATGTTTAGCTATAACAAGGAATGGAAACATGACAAACTTAAATGGCATCACTACTTGGAAGAGCAAGTGTATGAATTCCGAAGCAACAATTATTCAATTATTTAACACATTCACTTGAGAACTTGTAAGATGTTTCTCTCTATAACTTTTCTTTGATTATAACATTGGTGGTGTGATGGTTTGTGTTTAATACTTGACTGCTAAGAAAGCATGTCCATGCTTGTAAGTATAAGCAAGCAGCTAGTGGATTCCTCCCTGAGGGAATTGGTAATAAGGAATAATACTTTTTATACAAAAGGGCACTAGAGCATCAACATGGTTTCAAACCTGGGACCTCCAGGTTATGTGTGTAAGTCCACTACTTCACACTAAGTTCAGTATCGCGCCTATCGCCTCTTGATTAAATACAAATTGTAAAAAGGAATGTGATCTTTTTATGCTTGCCAAACTTGTAATTCTGCTCCTAAAAAAGTTCACACTGCTTGCCAAATTTGTATACGATTGATTAATATAATTACACAATCTGCATGTTTAAAGAGGTCAATTATTTTAATAATTTGTTCAGCCTTGTCTAAATCAATTACTATTTTTTTGATCCGATATTCAAATTAGATATCAATGGAATTTAATGTTACATCTACATGTTGGCATGACATCAGAGTCAATTTTCAGGCTTACTGGGTATTAAACCTATACTCTATGTCAATACGTTCCTCTATGATCTTCTGCACAGTGACCTCTTGAATTTTTTTTCGTATATTAGGTCATAGAATGTTGAACGAGTCTAATAGCCAGTTCAGGCTACAAGAAATTTATATGAAGAAACGTATAAAGAAACATATAATCATCATTTAATGAAAGGGGGGTACAAGCAAGAAAAAAGAAATTGTACAAAGAAACGTAATAAGTATAGCTACAGTCTTTTCAAGAAATCAATTGATAATGCCCTCACAAGAAGCCCCGCCTAGTCATACAATTTTCTTATGATTCGTCGTTCAGACTAGATCCGGACCCTTAATCTATATTGAGTTTTTGTTTTAAATGATGCTCAGATGATTACGTGTTTCACTATACAATGATTTTGTTACACGTTTCTTAATAAGACATTCAGACTATAGATAAAGATGATTAGATATATTGTGTATAGCGAGATGTATATGACTATCTTACAGCTATAAATACTTATGATTCTCTGAACATTAGAAGGAGATATAGTGTTGTCAATGATTGCAAAATGGAAATTTATCCATTCTATTGAAAAAATAATTATTTGATGTCTTGTTTTTTCTTGAACAGATATAAAAATCAATTATAATGATTATTATCATGTGAATAATAAGTAATAAAACTGTATATTGAGAACGAAATAAGTATTTGTTTTAAAATGTGATCAATTTATTTATGCAGTGGTCTAAACAACACGAGGAGTTTCTAATAGGCAACATCTTTGAAAATATAAGTGCTCAATTAATTTCAAGAAAACTTCCTAGTTGTTTGAGTATGGTCTAGAATTAATGAATTTCACACCAATTTAGGAAAGAACAGGAAGGTTGTGAGCGTGTTGGTGATCCTGAACTTATCAACAAACAAAAAACAAAAAAATGGCACAATAATGTCATCACTAGTACACAAAAAACATACGAAGCGCCTCTCTAGATCTTATATGATAAACTATATTTCTCTGACAAGAAAAAAGATCATCACATTTGTTTTGCTCATAAAAGTAATCTTTTCCTTAAACAAAATATTTTTTAAATATATAGGTTCTGATAATTTTATGAGTTGCCGCCTCAAAAGTGATACTATAATAGGCCCAATTTGCAGGGTGTATATACAGCCAAGGCACTTTCCCCGATCCGTTATGCATATTACGTAACAATTACGCTGCTATTAAACAAACTACACTCTCTTTTATTAGACCAACGGTATTACGTAATACACCCTTCTTATAATAGTAGCCTCTTGATGAACGCGACGCCATCGGCATGACTACATTACGCTGAAGCTATGGAAATTTGCACGAACGATTGATTTGCCGATGGAGTTGATTTGAAGACCGAAACAGGTACATGTACATGAAACCGTAGCTTTGTTCCGCATTATGATTGCTAAGCTGGTAAGTTTAATAACTTTAGTGTACAAAACCTTGGTATTTGCATGCTGTGTTGTCATAATTTCACTCAAATAACACTCTTAAAAATTATGTGAACGCATATGATATGTTTTGTTCGTTGCAAGCGGAACAACTCTCTAACTCGCACACCAGCGGGCAGGGGGGAAATGGCATCTGTCCCCGGCTCGATCACCTGATCGGCTGTTGCGGGATACTACTAGGCCTAAGAGCTTTCACTTCAATTCTATTCAAATTTAAGGGAATACAAAAGTCTATTGTCGAGATGAATTTTATTAAGACATGGTTATGAACAAAACCTGTACACGTCAACATACAAAATTATGTATAGAAAGTGTAATTGAAATTGGTATGAATTAAAGTAGGGAGTGGAAGGACCAAATAAAGTACAGTACTTGATGCCCTTTTGGCCTGCTTTAGTGAAGTATAGTTGAAATATGTGCTGCATGAATATTTTTATATTTTAAAACTCAGATGGAGGATAAAATAAGTAAAAGAGCAGGAGAGAGAGAGCGAGAGATTAACAAGGAGAAAGAGATTGTGTGTAATTGGGTTTTGGGAGCCGACCTATAACGTCCCCATCCTAGAGAGAGAGAAAGAGCTAGAGAAAGAAAGAGAGAGTGAGAGAGAGAGAGAGAGAGAGAGAGAGAGAGCAGGAGAATAGTAGACATACAAGGAAAACATAGAGAGGGAAATAAAAAAAAGATAATTTTGCCAAACACATATGAATACAGGAAAAAAGGTGCAGTTGTAAAGATTGTTTGTGACTCAGTCGTGAGTGACTATGAAGAATATATTATTTATGGCAAATTATACATAAAAAGTCTGGTGCCATGACTACATGTACATTATCATTATCCAGAAGGACAAACTGTTATCAGCCTAGCTGTCATTGATGAGAATCTTGGCTCAGGAAGATACATTATTGTTCTGTTTCTGTTTAACCAAGAGTAGAGGGTGACTATAGGCCTAATCCTTAACTATATTGGAAACTAGCTTTATATAAGTGCAAATAAGAAAAAATCTCAAATTAAATTTCAGTTTAAAAACAAAGAAACTGGTAGGTGTAGATGCATCTAGTTAGCAATTCTACAATCTAGGGTCTAGAGAATGTGTTTGCTGTACAAATGTATAAATAGTTGCTTAAGAAATTTAACTATAGCGTCTGGCTTGAGCGCAAGTAAAACCTGTCATGCCCAGTGTATTTACAAATTCATCTTTTATGTAAAGAAATTATTATTTTTATATGCATAGTTTCCATTTGGTAAATAATTGTGAATAGTGGATGGACTAGACTCTTACTTTAAATATTTCCTGAATCCTAAATTATGCCTGTTAATTAGCATTCGATCATTGCCTATCCGTCAAATGCACACTCATTGAAAAAGTATTATTGGTATTTCCTCATCAATGAACCTTGTCTATTCATTTTGATATGTTGTCTAATGATAATTAAAGATGCTTCTTTGATATTATGACAAAATAAAAAGTTTTTAAAACTCTTCTCCTTTTCGTAATTGTGCATGTAAATAAATTGACTTTGTTGTATATGTTATATCAACAGCTGTGCAACTTACTCTTTCCAGAACCAACAATGATCTAATTCTCTGGAGGTCTACTGATACGGATGCTTCCAGCATGGATCCACCCGGCATTTACCCAGATACTGAGTCTGTGTGCATCCAACGGAGCATCCATGGTGTGGGACGCACTTCATCACTACGACGTAGAGATACAGTGTCAGGAGATGAGGTTGACTGGGAGAAATTGGAGGAGGAGGAGAAGAAAAGGTCATTGAGACGGGGTTCATCATGGGCCAAGGTGTCATCCGTTGTCAAGGCAACACACTTTGTTGTGGATATGGCGGTAAGAATGTTTATTGTAGATTTTCAGAAATATACCGTACTTGCTCTTTTGTACATGTAAGTATTTTGATAGAAGGATAATGCAGGTCAGGATAATAGATGTATCCTACACCTTCAAGTGCCATGAGATAACTTCTTTGATTGTTGTCAGCAAAGGAAAGACTAAAAAAAGCCAAGACAAAATATGATCCATGAGTTTTATAAAGTATCCTTATCATTGTACAGGCAGGAAGAAAACAGTTATCATTGGGGTTAATTGATTGTTCAATAAAATTATGCCTATCTATTTGGATTTGGCAAGACCTTGCCATATTCAAACAAATACGTTTATCTTCAAGTTCTGCATAAATGATGAACAATCCGATGATGTGAAAAATCACTTATTATTCAGTAGATTTATTACGGAAATAACATTTCGTTACCGTACTCAGAGGAGAATTTGAATGGTGAATGGTTGAATAACTGGATCAATTTTATATGGTTAAACATTACAAAATAAGGAATAATAATACGTTCATGAGCCTTTGTATCTGTTGACCTTAATGTAAAGTTGTATACAATGGAACATTCAATTTAATTGAGAAGTTAATCCAACTTAATCAAAGTTGGTAGGTACCTATTGTTTTAGAATCTGATAGGTTTTACAATTTTTATCTTCAATCAAATTGTACACTAATATATTTGTTAGTCTCTCAGCAACAGTTCAAAGATGTTTCCAGTGTATGGTAATATAGTATTCTGTATTTTTCAAGTGAATAGTATTGAGGCTTGTTCAGATATGAAAAGTAAACCACAGCATTTAAAAAACAAGTGAATGTCAACTGCGTGCACCTAATGTCCTATGTATGTTCACAGAGTTTTGTGTTATGATACAGAAATGTGGTTCATATTACACTTACATCATCATTGAAGGAGATTTTACTGTCTTTCTTACTACTTTCTTGTCAATTATATACCTTTTTATTTCTTTGATATTAGGACCCAACACCAACCCAATCTTCTTGGATTAAAGGCAACTTTAAAAAGAAAGAATGCATCAGATATGTAATAGATCCTAAACAACTGAATGTGTAAGTATTAAATGGTCATGTATCCTTTCTGTTCAAGTGTCTTTCACTGATATTTGAAATGCTTCATTGAAAATAATAATAATATAATAATAATAAATTTATATAGCGCAGCTTTTATACAAAATATATTCATCTGCACTGGTTAAGAGCTCCTTTTTACTAAATTCTACAAAATAAGATCTCTCAGTTGAACAAATAAGTTTTTAAATTGGATTTGAAAACATTGAGAGATGGAGTGCTTCGTATTTCTATTGGCAAGCTATTCCATAGTTTGGGGGCAGCAATAGCAAAAGCACGGTCCCCAAGAGTTACTTTAGTTTTGCCATGGGAATCTGAAACAATAATTTATCTGTGGAACTGCGCAGGCTACGACTGTGTGACTGGACTTTGAGTTGAAGTAATTCTGTGATGTAATTAGGGGCTTGACCACTCAATGATTTATAGACAATTAACAATATTTTGAATGAGATTCTTTGACGGACTGGCAACCAGTGGAGTTCTCTCAGAAGAGGTGCGGTTGAAGTGAATTTCGACAAGTCTTGCACATGCATTTTGGACTCTTTGTAACTTAGCTTTCAGAGAATCAGGCATTCCAAACAGCAACCTGTTACAATAATCAAGCTTACTTGTGATAAGAGCATGTACAACCAATTTCATACTTTCATGATCAAAATATTTGCAGATACGTCTGAGATTGTACAGAAGATAGTATGTTGATTTGCATATATTTTTAATTGTATTTTTTAACATGTGTTTCTATGTATCAAAGTATACCGGTACTCCTAAATTCCTTGCTGCAACAGAGGGTATCACATTGGAGGATCCAACTCTTACACCGTCAATGCTTATTTTTGAGATCTGTTGTGGAGTTCCTATAACCAAAAATTCACTCTTACTATCGTTTAGCTTAAGATTATTATTAAGCATCCATCTATGAATGAAATTAACACATTTTTCAAATATTGAAACAATTGCATCTTGAGTACTAGTGGATGGTCTAAAGGATAAAAATAATTGTGTGTCGGCTGCATAACAGTGACAGGAGACTTCAGGAAAATTATCCTGAGTGCTCTTGATTAGATTACTCGTGTATAACATAAAAAGCAAAGGGCCGAGCCGATATACAGTTACACATTTGTTTGAATCCCGACCCCATTCCCCCCAAAACTAAACAAACTCACAACAGATATTGTCTAATAAATCCTGATATTTAAAGTTTTATTTGCTGACAGTTTGATCAGAATTGTTCTAGAATGTTGGTTCTCTTTTCTTGTATGAAATGTATTAATGGATTAATTAAAATG